TTACTTATTATCAAATTATGTCAAAGCCAATTTCTAAAATAAGACTAACTCCATCCACCCAGCCACTCACAAGTCTTAAAATGTCTTGTAATGCATACATTTTTTCATTTACATTCTAAATAGAGTCATTTATTCTGTTTGTAGCAAGGAATTCACTTTGATGTAGTAATGAATTTCAGCTTGAAAAGGTAGAGCCTGACAAATTACTAGGGAATTTTGTTTCTTAGTGAGAAAACAGCAATGTACCTCTGTTGTCACTCACCCTCCCCTGTTTCCACCAAGAGTTTTGTCTCTTCCCATGCTCCACCTGGTGTTAGAGCCAAGGCCTCTGTCAGAGTCTGTTCCCTGTGCTCATTGCCACATCTCCTGTTCAGTACCGATGGATTCTCTGCTGCCCTCACCATCAGTTCTTCATTTGCAGGACACCCAGTAAATACCAGCAACTAAACACAACACAGACATGNTGGGCTCGGATACAAAACTGCCAAATGACAGAGTTTTCTTTGTTTAATCACTCATTTGTAAGACTTAGTGAACTTTCTCACTATCAGTTTCAAACCATATGATTTTGTGAGTCTTTTCTATACTTAGACATTAACTAATCATATCTTCATTAGAATATAAAGAAAAAAAGAAAGGCCCATTGTTTCTGAGACTTGTTCATTTAAAGCAGCATTAAATGGAATTATTAAGATGCATTACCCGCCACCATTTGTGTTTTAGCTGAGGATGGTATTTACACTTCTTATTTAATTCTGGAGAAAGTTTTTCATCAAATGAACCACTTCTATCTTCCTTTTGGTTTTTTTTTCCCCATAAGGGGATTTTCTTCATACTTTTTTCCTTGTCTTTCTCTGTTCCCACCTCTGTCACATTGCTCCTTCCTGTTTCCCCTCTGACACATTGCTCCTTCCTGTTTCCTCTGAAAAAACTTTTTATCCTGTTGCCACTGACAAAAGATTAACACCAAGGTCTTGTTCAAACAGCCTAGCTGCTGAACAAGCACCAGCAAGTTAGCACCATTTCAGAAAGTATAGGAAGCAGTTTTCATATTTGTTTATTAACCAAGAAACAAAACAAAAAAATAGTTGGAGGATATGCAGCTCCCTCAATGCCACTGCTGAGTGCTAGCACCTTTCTGTTTTTAAAGGCACATGAGATAGCTTCCAAAAACTGAAAATATAAACTTCTCCACCATAAATAAATAGAGAAAATAAATAAATAGATAAAAAAAAGTGCTTCTCCTGAAATCCCTTTTCTCCCACAAACATGCTACTAACAAATCAGGCAACTAGACCCACTCTATACATCTCATATAGCTCTACTGACAGACTTTGCTACTGTCTTGAAAGGGAGACCTGGCAGCCTCAATATTGCTGTGATGGAGAAAGCTCAAACACAACAATGATACAGTACCAATAATACAAGGTCCCACAGGGCAGATCACCGAAAAATAAATTTCAGCTCAAACAACCAAGGAAAATCAATCCACATTGCCAAGTTAGTTTGCACATCAACAGGAGTCTCTGTTGCTGTGCTCATCACTAGCAAGAAATTAGCCTTTGTCCTGTGCACCCCATCAGAGGAGTGTACTTCACAAGGCAGAGTACAACCACCTCTGAACAAGAATGGAAATAACACGGGGTTCAGGACAGGTGGAGTTTTACAGCATTATGCTTGTGACATCACACACAGTACAGCAAGTTACAAAAAGTGCAAAGCGTACCCACTTTGCATGAAGCCACAGGCAATTTTAATTTTGTCTCAGGCCTTTATAAATTGTTATGGAATGTGGATAAAAAGGCAACCAAGAGCCAGTGTGATGGCAGGCTCACAGCCTGCAGCAATGCCCTGATCAGCCAGTATCCTAAAAACAAAGCACAGATACAATCAAGGCTCTGCCTCTCCTAGTAATCTTGGAGACTTCACTCAGCAACACCAACACATGAAAGGAAAGGATGCCAATGCATGCAGACAAGTCTGTGTAACTCCAAGCAAGGTTTGTTTATTGCTAATAGACTTCCTGCTTAAGTTAAACCTCAGAATACATAGGAGAGCCTTTGAAAGGCCTGGAAACCTCACTTCAAATCACAGGTAAATAATGTCTCTATGAGAACTGACTGAGCAGATTGCCACGAAGAATTTCAGAGCTGTGCCACAGACCACAGCAAGGTTGGGGATGGGGGGTGTGTGTGTGAAGAGTAGTGGTGTGAGGGCAAACACTAAAATAAGGGTATTAACTATGGCACAGATGACTCTGGAATGATACATGCAGGAACATAAGGCCCTTTTCATGTAACTGTGTTCTGCCCCAAGCATGGCAAGTAAGATTTACCCCAGTAAAACGCACCCTTGTACACTACTACTCAAATTCCCCCCTCAACTCACACTCTGAAACACTTCTCTAAATTTCAACCAAATGTCCACCCATTTTTCTCATCTGATTCCCCTGCTTCCTGTTTCTATTGCACAACATTCCTGCTCCCCCAAGGTAATCACAGTTCTAGCACCTCCTTGCTCAGCCAGGTTGTACATTCCCAACCCTTCCCTCACCAACCAGCCATCCTGTCTCTGGAGGATCTCCTCCAGGTGGGAAATCTACACTTGTGTAAGACCTCATGAAATTCACCCAATTTCTGTTAGAATTTGGGAAAATTATAATGTGCATCCTCCCCCAGCAGCAGGGAGAGGAAACCCACAAGCCTTCTGTCTCTGGTCATGCTCACAGATACTGGTTCACCTAAAAAGCCACAAAATTGTGGCCAACATATGGGCAAAGTTACCTCACAAATGAGGAACAGAAGTCTTTTGGAGGCCATTGGTGCAATCATTCAGATATAGTGCTTTTACATTCTCTGTGTGAGAACTTTCAAGCTAAATGATACTTACTTGTTTGATTTCAAAGGTCAATCTTTTATCCCAGATGCTCATGGTAATCAATTACCTTTATCTGCAAGTAAGTTCCCAATTTCACTGACACATCTTATAAAATTTATCCCTTCCACTTGCTCCTCAGTTTGTACTAGAAGTAAGCAAATGTATTTGATTTTTCAAGATACAAACCAAATTCATTGGACAAACTCCTCTAACTCCCATATATTTAGACACAATTCATCTCAAATAGAAGGAGTGTTACCAGCAGATGTCATGTGTTGGTTTCTTCTCACATCTCAGAAGCAAAATAGGAGTCTGCTGAAATAAGAAGTGGATTTCATTTTCATCCCTGACAAGTAAGTCATGAAACACAAGAGTGCTCTTCCAGATCAAGAAAGGAACAGGAAAAAAAGCCAGTGATAATAAAGAAAACAGGCTTTCTCACAGAATTCTTGGTTCATTTTGGATGACCACATTCACAGAGGCCATTTGGATACAGTGCAGAGAATCTGAACAATCAGTGAGACAGACAATGACAGCAGAACACTTTATGAGGGACCTCAGAAAAAAACACAGATGTGGTTGCAAGCTGAGATGGGAAACTGTAAAGTGTCTGTCATTAAGGCAATGAAGGATGTGCTGGTGATTGATGCCACTGGAGAGATTTGGGGTGGGAGAAGGAGATAAAAACAGTCAGAGGGAGCAGATGAGGATGCACAGTGATGTATCCTCATCACTGGCTGTTGTAGGACAAAGGTCAGGCTGAACATGGCCCAAGCTGGGATTTAGGAGAGCAGGATAATCTGAATTTAGCCAAGGTAATAAAGGTACTACTGACAAAAGCCATAGTGAAAAGGGAATAAAAGCTTTTAAATTAAGGCCCAAGAATTTCATATAGACCACAATAAATTGTAACAAAAATTTAACAAGAGGAAACACTTGAGTCACATGTTCAAGCAAATTAATAGCTTCAGAAAAGTACCAGCCACTACCTTCAGGTATCTCTGAAAGGCAAGTTTAGAAAGGTATTTCTGCTGTAAGTTTACTTTTGGTTGTAAAGAATTTGAAATTCAAAGACACTCCATTAACAAATTAAAAAGAGCTCTCCAAGGGCACTTTCTGCATTGTAGTCTAATGAGAACTAGGGAGCAGGCATTACTTTCAGTGTCCTGATCACTACACCGATGCACAGAAGCCAGGCTCTCTATTTTGGAGTGGATGTATGCACCTCCCCAGCTACACAGGGATAAAAACTCGCCTTGTAAAATGTGGATGACTGTAGTAGCTTGACTACTACTGACTACTTGGGCCTTGACTACTGGGCAGGTTCAGCTACCCAAAAGGAGCAGGTATTTTGTACCATGATTGCCACAGCCTAGGTGTGAACTCCCCAGGCTGGCATCAAGCAGCATCCTCTCTCCTCCACTCTCCACCAGACCAGCACGTACATCTCAGGGTACATACACACATCCTTCAAAAGCCAAGAGATGAACTTGAAAACAGAGGTGTTTCCACTGAAATCCTCATAAAGCTTTTGGCTGTTTTGCTGGCATGCAAACACTTGAGCAGAATGCTCTTTCACACTTCCCTCTGCTGCTAAAATCCTGGCATCCTGTTCCTAAACAGTGTGACTTCTAAATAAGACACACTGTCCTCAGAGAAGGACACTTCCCTGGAGAAGAACACAGTAACTGAAGACTGGAAAAACCATAACAAACACCCCTTCATGTGCACTAGATCTCCAGGCAATTCACACTAGCTAAATCTTACATGGCAACAGGAGAGAGGGGCTTGGATTGTTATTACATAATTATCTCCTTCTGCCTAGATATCTGTTCCTCTCCCATCCTGCTGCCTACTGTGGCACTTAAGGCAATAAAAAATTAAAACATGTTTTCCAAGCAGTAATGTTGTAGTTGGCTGATTCCTTCACAGATCCAGACAGATGGAAGCAGCTTCACAGTGAGAAGATCACTATTCAATGGGTTTAGGCTTTTACTTCTGGCAGGTCTACGAAGCAAGAATCTTGTCACAGTTCACATTATTCTGAGTCTTCTAAGTTATTTACAATGTTCAGGATGTTTATGCAATTAAGTTTCACAAATTTAAGATTTTGTGATTTAAGATTAAGGTTTGGGAATTAGCATTTATTCTGAATAAGAATTTCCACTGCTAGACATGAAATCATCTAAGGCCAAATGGAATGTTCAGATGTCACAGTAACACACAGTGTTAAAATCTAAACGTAGCAATTTCCTGATGGGAACTTACTGAAACTGATAAATGGAGGTGGGTATCTTGTACAGAATGACTGGGTCTATCAAACAAAAATTCCTGAAACATTCCTAGAGCATCCAGCTGCTAAAATTTGATTGTAACACAATAATGTAACACCTAACTTTCACATATGAAGAGTAAAAATGACAGAAATAGGCACCTGGAGTACTAAAGACAAGTATCCCAAACAGGAAAATTCTCTAATTAGCAATGTGACTAGTGACATACACGGTGGACAAGGATTTAACACAATGAAGAAAATACCATGAAAATCTCAGCACTGAAAGTCTTATCCAACTGCAGGGAACAGTGCTGGGGTTTAAGTAGCAATAGTTGTATTGCCATGCATAGAAGAGGGTTTTGATTTTCTAAGCTTTATATCAGCGCTAGCTTATTGTAATTTTCTTGAGGAAAAAACCCTGATAATTAATATACAGTCGGACTATGTGTTTACCACTTTGGATTCTAAATATTTAATAGTTAGCATCTTTCTGCCATACAGCTATTACATGCACATTCCAAAATTACTGCCAATTTATTAACTTTTACTACTGAAATTTAGAAATGAGGTAATGTATGGGGATATAAAACACATGTCACAATGCAATGATTCACCTTATTTTAGAGCAAGGCCTCATTTTTGTGGCTTACAGAACAATGTTTTTTAAGGCCCCTACACAGGACAGGCTATGTTGCTAAAGCATCATATGAAAAGTGATAATATTCAGCAACAGAGAGACAGAGTCTTGAAAAATCACGGACCAACCCAACATTCTCTTAACATTAATTTTATAAAATACCTTACATGAACAGATAAAGAACTTGAGCATACATAATAACCAAAATTTAAAAAGAATGTTGAATAAAATATAAATTAATTGAACACATCACTAAATTTGCCACATGAGACAAGTTTATAAAAGGCATTTTCAGATAAAATAGTTATTTGAAAGAAAATCCTTCAAAATGGAAACTGCTGAAGTCCTTTTTCAAGAAGTCACTCCTAAAAGCCCTAAATTCCAGGTCATCAGGTAGCACCTGAATTTGCTTTGAATACGGTGTTCATTTGCTTCAAAATTTGTCAAGATTTAAGACACAAATTTAAATGCTTTCAGGTCAGAGTTGTCAGTGCAAAGTAAAGCTTCAAGCTGAAAATGAGAGAAATACAACAGAAGAAATGATCCTGGTACAAAACTTCCTTAATTCACATTATAAAAAAGCTGTGCCAGATGCACTCTTGAGATATTGGACATTAACAAATTTTACCATTTTAAGGTTCAAGACAAGCCATTAAAATGGCTAATTATATTCATTTCCTTTAACATGATTTAATTTTTTCCTACACACAGCCTTTGAAAAATGATCTGTGCTGCTGATGTCCACTCGTTCTGCTTAACTTCTGATTCAGCTGATTTGCTCAAAATGCAGTAACTCAGCCAAAAGGAGAGGAAAAAACAACACAAGGATGGTCTAAAGACTGCAAATGTCTCTGAGTTTAACCAACTTTGTTCACCCAAGTACCCTCATTCAAGTCAGTGTTCCCTAAAGTAATATAAGTGCATAACACACTGCCAGGCTCAAACCCTTAAGTCTTTCAAAGGTTAAAAATATGTTTAGAGAACTAGGTCTTTAGAGAACTAGACTGCAGCCAGATTAATTCATTTTTAAGCCTATTAATTCCTGCAGAATAAACATCAACACTACAGCAAAGCACTTTTGCTGTTTGACTTTAAAACTACTAACCAAAACAGGTTTGAAATAGTCTGCATGCTCCCCTGTTTAGAAGAGTCATTAGGACACTCATTTAAAGATTAGTGGAACTCTTTTCAAGTTACCACTCAGAATATTGCTCATCAAGTTTGGTTTTTTATCACATAATAAAAAAAAGTGTCACTGGTGGTCACAAGCAGAAAGAAGGAAAACTTTAAAAACCTTAATCTAACAGGCAGCAGTTCCAGCCTCTAATTGAAATATAAGGATGTAATTTATACTAAGCTGCTGCATAAAAGAAGAGAAAATGAGTTCTTCATTACAATTCAAAATTTCAAAACTCAATTTGCAGATTGTTTGTTCATCCTTGTAAAGTGCTCTTTTTTCACTGTCATCATTGCTATGGTGGCAGTTATGCTAGAACCTCATTTCAGTAATTCCAGTACAACCAGAGTGTATAATTTAATAGCCTGAATCATTTTCAATTCATAGCTAGCTAAAATGCTACAGTGATGTTGCAAACAAACCAAATGAGCAAGAGGGCTCACTACTACACAAAACTTTCTCCCAGAACAAAGGAAAAAGATTAACTCAAGCCAAAAGCACAGAATGTAACTTACACCAAAACTTTTCCTAAGCTGTACTCGAGGAAAGAACAATTACAGTAAGATGCAAATGTCTTTTCCCAGAACATAAACTCAGAAGCATTTGCTCAAATCCCAATGGAGCAGCAGCTCTTCCCTACACCCTGTATTCTCCTGATCATCTTTTATCACTGAAGCAGATTAACAGTATCCATACTATGCTTCGTGATGCTATGAAATACTTTAGTTTTAAGAATAAATTTTTTGTTGGAACAACAGGACTTTGAGATAGCCCAGGAATTTCCAATGGGTGTTCTCAGTTCAAATCCTGCAGTTCAGCCACGTGCTGCCTTTAAAAACATCTTTACAACAAATGCACCGGCTGATGAGATCTTATCCTGTAAGTGGTACAAATTCTAGCACTTGCTCAGAGTGAAAGAGAACACTAACAGCTGAAAGGGAATAAAGAATATATATTTCACCACCCAGCACACTGAATTTTCAGGCACACTGAAAATTTTCATACACTCATCACATCTCAAAATAAGAAAAATATTCTAACTACCACATGGTTTTATTTTTTCAATAGTATTAGAAGAAAAATTTCAAAGTATCCTAAAAACAACCAAAAAACCGAAAGCAGCAATCTTAAGAATTGTTCTGAAAATATTTGGACTCAACTTTGAAAGTACACAGAATAGAGCTGTCTTCTCTTTTTTTAAAACCAGAAAGATTTTTCAATTGGCTTGCACCAATTTGGGCTCAAAAATAAAATGTCAAAGTTTGGAGTATCACTAACCAAGTAAAGTAAAAACGTATTTCCAACTAATCAGCTGGAAAGTGAGTGAATGAATTTGGGTGTTAAACACATCTTTGAGGATTATAAAGTATGCAGGGGAGGGAGGAGGTTATTAAAGAACTTTGCAAAAAATATTGCTACAGTAGCATTAGGAATTAACAGTGCATCAAAGATTTAAAGTTTCCAAGTTAATACAAACTGATCCAAGCCACAATGAACCACAGGATAATCACTCAAATAAAACATTAACTGCATTCTACTTTACTGAATCTAGAACTGAAATTTACCTGAATACCTTTAATATCATTGAAACAGATTCCTTTTAGTCTTGTCATGAAGAACTGGTGCCATTAGTGTGTAATCAAAACACAGTATTATCATGTGCATTTGGCTTTTTTTGAACATCTGCAATCAAATACTCAAATTTGAAGGAGATTTTACATGTGAGAACTCAGTATCACTGCTGCATGAAGTGTTTTATTTGTTGGTTGGGATGGTTTTTTATGGAAACTGTATATAAAAGACCTTGAGACTACAGGTCATGGAATTCTTGTTAAACAGAAAGCTGCCCAAAATTACTGTCAAAATACCTTTAAGAAGGCAGTTCACAGAATAATGTGTTTTACATTCAGATACTTCCTCTTTCAAAAGCAAAGGAATCCCAGAAGAAAAAAAAAAATCAGTAGTGAAGGCCACATACTTTTTGCATTCGATGAGCTGAAATGCAAAAAACAATTAAAGCGTCTTGTAAAAGAAAAAAACGACCAAAAGAAACACAGAATTTCTGGAAAGTGATGATTTAGTTGGTGGAGTGGTCAGCATGGAAACTGTTGGGAATGCTACAGCAGAACTGACCACAAGTACAAGGGAATATGAACAGGACATAGTACAGGCACAAACTAGAAAACTGTAACTTGCCAACTTGTAAACAAGAAAAAGCATTTCACAGATTAAAAGTTCTAGGGAAGTAAACTTTTTTTTAAATTACTTTGTAAGTTCAACCCTGATTTAAAAAAGTATGGCTAGCAAAAATACATAAGCCTCAGCATATTTATAAGTCTTGATCAGAGCAGCCAGGAGCCTTTGATAAATGGCTGGAAACAAACATCCTTCTGCTAAGGATGGAAGAAAAATACTCCACTCTGTTCTTCCTCTCATTCCCCAATCCACACGTGTATCTGTAGAATTCATACGCTCCAAGAAAATCTTGATGCTGCTATAGATTGAGACGTGGGGAGACTGGTGGAGGAAAACAAACAAACTCTCTTAAAATACTACGGGCCACGTCAACATTATTCTGGGCAATTTCAAGTGCCCTCTTGACTTCTTCGAAGGAATAGCCCTCTCCCATAAGTTTTGCAATTTTCGCATCCACATTTTCCATGGAACTGTCAGAGCTGTACGCTTTCCTGTGATGTATTTCTGGTGCAGTTCTCCGAGGAAGTGGTTTAGGGGGCCTGGCTGGTGCTTGTGAACCATCTGTTTCAAATAAAAGAGATAAAAATCATTATAAATTGGCCTAAGACTGTGTCAAATGTTGCTCAAATCCCACGAAGCTGTTTGAAAAGCAAAATTCTAAAGGAACATGAAGAAATTTTTTAGTTAACCAATATAGTTAATTTTAAAATTCTGACAGAAGCAGAAGTGCTCAAGAGCATCCAAAATGGAAATAATGCAGCAATACACTATTTTAATAATATGATAGGAACATGCAATTTACAATCTGGATTATCTAATGCTGGAAGAAAAATAAAGTATGCTGGAATAACAAAGACAGTGAAAATAGCCAATCAAACTATAAAAGGCTCTCCACTCTCAATCCACAGTTTGAGAACTTCTGAGTTATAAAAAAATAGCCCAAAACAACAAAACAAACTAACAAAAAAACCCACAAACAAACAAACAAAAAAACCCCAAGAAAAATATCCCTACAAAAACAAACAAATAAGCAAAACCCAAGCACAAATTTGATCACAATTTTATTGGGGACCGTAAGTTGCATAAAAAAGGAATCCAAATATGACTGAAGGAGAAAAATCCTGAACTTATTGGTCCATCTTGTAGATGCTGTTAATTCAATTGTTATTCATTTCATGCACAGCAACTAAACCTAAGTACATAAATAAGTGGTTTCTCAAAAAGACCTCTAGCCCAATTATTGCCATAGTGAGAACAGAACATGCTCCTTCCTCTCCAGTCCCCCTTTGGAAACATCTCCCAGTTCCTCATCATCTGTGGAAAGGTTACCTTCAAAGTTAATGCTGGTGACTAAGAATCATGATCTGCTGGTGAAAAAAAAGCTAATATGCAAACTTGCTAATCTTCTCAGAGTCAAGAGTTTCGTGCTCAAGTAAACTTGGTACTTTAAAGAAATGCCTTTATCCTCACTGATTCCACAATAAGAAGCTTAAATACAAGCAGGCACAGTGCAAAAAGCACTTTCAAGAGCAAAGTATTTAAAAAATTAAAAAATCTTTAATCCCTCAAAAAGGGTTTTAACAAGTCCTATCAACAGTGACTTTGATAGATAAATTAATGGAATTTCTGGCTGTGATACTTCCTGTTTACTTACACTGATAGCAGTGGCATTTTCCAGTGTTAAGTATTTCAGAGACAGTTCTTTAGGCACAGAAGAAATGTTATATTTCCAATATTCTTGTTGAAACCTTATCATAACACTGGATAGAGAAAACTATATATCAACCAAGTGCATTAAACACTTCACATAAATGAAAGCAGTTCAAACAGGAGCATGTCTAATGCAGGTGTATTTTTCTTTCAAGTCAGTTTTAACATCAATTTGGATGTGTGTTGCTATACAATTTAATTCCACTTCTTAATTTAGAGTTAATAGTACCTTTAGCAAGATGGTGACATTCATGGAACAAACGGATGAAAGAAATTTGATTAAAGATTTATAGTAAGAGGCTAAGACCTACAAGTACTAAGGGCTACTTCATATTTGTTTTGATTTTTTTTCTCTCTGAAGATAAAAAGAGTGATGTAAATGCCAAACTTTCTGAAGCAAATCCAAACCTGCTAGGAAGGCGTGGAAGACCCATGAAACACTTCTCTGAGAAATTAACTGTAGCTCAGGAAATTCAGGTAATCACTAAAAACTGAATAAAGTAAGTTCAGATTTCTCACTTATTTTAGGAAACTCAAGACTATAAAAGAATAATATTCTTTATCTTTAGGTTAATGGCACATCATTTAAAACTGAACATTTTTCTTTCACAAATATTCAAACTGTTTTAATATGTACATTCCATTATGGGCTTCATTTCTATACAGTACGAAACGAAATTCATTTACAAACTACATTTTCCCCTGGGCTTGAAGTACAGAAGAAATTCCTTACTAATAAATCCGATCCTTCCCTGTGCTTCTGTTACATGAGGATATTTTTGCTTGACTCAGTCTAATACAGGCTTAAAATGGAAGTTATTTCTTGTTTAAAACCTTCGCTGAAGCTTTCAAACAAACTTTATTAAGCAATCACATCATTTAGAAAGGTCACTTTAAATTCTGTTAGCAGATTTGAAGCATAAGCATTTCTTTCCTCACTACAGTGGCATCTCTCTATAGCAAAGATACTCTGAGATCTTCAGCCTCTCTCTCAATTCCCATTATTTTTTAAACGCTGACATCTCTTTCAGTATCTTCACATCCATGTAAAATTTCAGCTAAAGCTGGGTATCATATTGGATCCTGAGCTTAAAGGTACTAAGCCTAAGCTGCATGTGCATCTGGACACTAAGATAGAGGTATTAAGCAGGACTTTCCTTCCCTACCTCCATCCTCTGATGTTTCAGCCACCACAGATGTCTAACCAAAAATTCAAATAGATTTTCTAACTGTGAAATTCAATTAACAGTTTCTACCACAAGCAGCTTCCTCCACCACTCACATTTCTGTAAATCAGCACTAGACTGAACCCTTAGGTAAGGGGTTAATGCAAAGGGAGACACAGGCTCCTTTAATAAGTGTTTAAAAAGCATGGCAAAAGTGGTGAGAGCTCTATGGCACAGAGGGAGAGGCTATTTGTATCGATGCCAACTGTCTGTTCCTCTCTGCTGTGAAATGCCCTTCTTCTCTTCCCTCACTGCTTCTCCTGGATTCCTTTGCTTTTCACTGACTGCCTGAGGAGCATCAGGGAAGCAGGTGACAAAGGCCAGCTGTGCAAGGCCCTCTGTGGAGCAGTGGCAAGCAGCTACACCTCACCTAACTGGGGTGCAGAAACAAAGCACACCCAGGGGACACGTGCTCTGAGGAACTCCGAGAGCAAGGAGAAGGCGAGGGAAGGACCCTCCATCAAGTTGTTAGGCACAATCTTTGCATTTTGTAATAGTGTGGATTACATTATTTCCTCTAGTGTTAACTGAAATATACCCTGGAATAATGTTTTCATAAAGGGAATCCAAATTTGTAAGCATTTTCATAAGGCCAAATGAGTGAATGAATAGGCAGCAGGCAAATAAAGTTAACCAATCATTTGAATCTATATCTTACATAATAGCTAAGTTCAGCAAAATAGAGAGACATCTATTAGAGGCTTAATTTTCTTCCTCCTTTCCCTCCTATTATTTGCTGTGCTTAGGTAAAATTTTCTAATTATTAGCAATATCATAGATTAATAGAATGGGTTAGGTTGGAAAGGACCTTGAAGTTAATTTAATTCCAATGCCCCTGCCATGGGGGATGAGGCACCCTTTCCAGGGATGAGGCACCCACAGCTCCTCTGGACAACCTGTCCCAGGGCCTCACTATCCTCACAGTAAAGAACTTCTTCCTGATACCTCATCTAATCTCTTTCAGTTCTGCCTTGTCCTGTCACTGCTCTTGTAAAAAGTCCCTCTCCTGCCTTGTTGAGGCTGCCTTCATGTACTGGAAGGCCACAATTAGGTCACCCCAAAACCTTCCCTTCTCCAGGCTGAACAATCCAAATTGTCTCAGGCTTTCCTCACAGGAGAGGTGCCCCAACCCTCTAATCACCTTGGTGGTCTTCTCTGGACTCACTCCAGCAGGTCCATGTCTTTCTTATGCTGGATGCATTTCTCCAGGTGGTGCCAAATTCCCTCCTTTGCCCTTGCTGGCCAGACTGCTCTGGATGCAGCCCAGGACATGTTTGGCTTTCTGGGCTCTGAGCACACACTGGTAGTTCATGTCCAGTCTCTCATCCACAGCACCCAAAAGCCCTATCTCCTTTTCCTGCTCTTTTTGTAATAATTTTAAACAGTGGTACATAAGAAGTTTGAGAAACCATGCCTTTGGGGGACTGGGTTGCATGGCTGAGTACTATTTCTGAAGTGTTCAACAGTGGATACCTGAATTAGAATAAATTACTTGGTAGATGTTAAGGATTCAGTTAAACATCATGACAGCAATCTTAAAAACAGTGAAAGTGAAGCAGAGAAGTTAAAGCACTGCCCATGCTTCTCTAGGAACCCAGTGGCTAAATTATAATTAGATTTTAGAGTGAACTCCATTTCTTTTTAAGCTAGTTCAAAGAATCACCTTACAAAAGCACTGAAAAGAAGAATTTCTTAAGTGAGCTGATTAGTTCAGAGTAAATGCAAAACCAAAGTTCTGAATACAGTTATGCTCCCTACATTGTCTTTTTAAATCATAGATGAAGGTGAACCAGTTCATCCTGCAGCTCATCAGTTCCATCCTTTGGAATTACTGCCACTGTAAAAACAACTTTCCAATTAAGAGAATGACATGATCTATCACATAGTTTTCATCTAATTGAAATTAAATGGAATATCTTGCTGCATATCATGCTGATTTAGAATGATATTTATAGCAAAAGCTGACACGTGAGTGTTTTAGAAGATGGCTGTGGGAAACACAAATCAAAAAGTATCAAGTAGCACCAGAAAGCTCCAAGTTCTTCACTAACAAGTATCTTGAAATAATTTAGGAAAATTAAAAATTGTTCGACCGCAGAAGTGCAAGAATTGCAGGAAAACTCCACAGCTTTAAAAGTAGTTACATCACTGTCATAATTTACATTATAACAGAACTCAAAACACCCTGAATAAATGACACTTTAGGACAAATAGACCCCTCACAATGCCACACAAAGCACGTGCTATAAACTCTTTTCTTCTAACAACTGGAAACAAAAAGAGAAACACTTATATTTGTAAAGATGCTCTCCCAACAGGGACAGTATTTACTAAAGGCATCACACTAATTCACAGTTATGCTATTCATTAATAAAATAAGTAAGCCTGAAGACAGCTACAGAAATTTCCCATCATTTAAGTTTGAAAAATATACTCTTTTATTCCCTATACCCCAGCATCATGAAACTCTGTATTTCTGAGAAGGAGAATGTAATTACCACTAAAAAAATATATACTTTTTTCCCACTTGGGAATGCTGCAATTGAACAATGGTGATTATTACAACTGAAAGATTAGAGGAAAAAGAAATACTTTCCTTTATGCATAAGAAGTCTTTACACACAACTTTATCTATCTGGAGAATGATTAATAGTACCAAACATCACTTGGCTTTTTCTTTGTGTGGTTTCTTCATACAGCAAAATAACATGGTTGGGCCAATCCTCCCCCTTCCCTATGTATCATGCACATCTAAAGAAAGGAAAATTTGTCTAAAAACTGGTGAAGGTACTTTGAAATACAGGTAATACTGTTATCATTTTTATTCACTTAGTAGATTTCCTTTAAATGTACTATTATTGTTGCCTGAAAACCATAACCAAAATTTCTTTGGCAGAGGTATTGTTTCTACTGTACCTGTTCCATTGAAAAGGAAGACCAAATTTTAAGTGGTTTTGATTCTTGTTGTTTTATTAAGAAACCTCTTAAAAGATTCTTAGAAATTCAGACAAACACATTAGCAAAAAAGACAGGAAATAATAATACTTTAGAGAGTTAAGCTACTATTTTTTTTTGTTTAGGAGAAATGAAACAAAGATGGAAATCAGATGCTTGTGCTCTTTTCAGTACTTCTGACCCCTTATGACCTTGAAAGAACACTTTGAAAGGTGTCAGGAAACTCTCTTCTCTTCCTTTCCCAAAAAATAAGGAATGCTATGACTCACATAAGCATTCAGTTTGGCAGCTAGTAAAATGGATGCCATAATAGTATATACACCTACACACAGCAAGTAGCCATTTCTGTCTTGACTGCAGAACTTAAATCTCTGTTATCCTTTGATGATTTCACACTTTTGTAAGGCAATATTACCATTGCCATTTGTTGCCCAGAATGACAAAAAACTCATTGGACTTTATGGATTCAAGTTATTTTCTACATACAATTGCAATTTTCTACAAGAACAGTTTGGTGCCTTACCTGAAGATGGAGGAAGTTGATCGTAGTCTTGAGATGTCCTATTTGTTTTGACATTTTCTCCAGGTGCTCTCCGAGCAGGCGGCAAAGGAACATGACCAGTTATTGGGTCGAAATGGGGATCTGTGATAACAGAATAAAAAAGGTGTCTTAGAATAATCAGAATTACTGTTTGAGGGAGGGCTGAAGCATAGAAGGTTGGATTAAAATAGCCTCCCACCATGCAAAAGAACCAGGTGTCCCTGGACATAAACCTCCAACGTTGGCATTCATAGTACACACGTAAGTATGATTTGAAGTAACAAACACAGAAGCACAGCTTAAAGGTGGTCTGTCCTGCACTGACTGTGGTCTCTACATCCATGAGGTATTTTTCAACCACCCAACTCTGACACTGCTGGGATTGTGTCTGGAAAAGCATAGAAAAGGTTGCAGTACCTAAAGCAGTACAATTAGAAACATCCCATCTATTCAGTTTGGTTAGAGCTTCATTACACTTCTGTGCTTTGCAGTGCACAAAGACTGCAGGGCTCATTTCCTATTCATACAGTCCCAGCTATGGGTAAATATTACAGGGACAGAATTTAAAAAATGAAAGAAATAAACAATTCTGGTATATTGCTCCCTCCTCTTCTTTTTTCTTTGGCTACTAAAGATGCTGCTGAGCAAGTGCAACATCATCCTGGATCTGGCTTCTGCTCTAGACTCAGAGCTTGCATGTATGTGAGTGCAACTTTTTGCTGGTGTTGATGATGAGATTATTATTCTAATCTGACAGGCTCTGATGGATAGCTGAGAAATCACCCTCAAGACTTGTATGGAAACCAATCATCAAAACCTCATCATAAATCTTCTACAACAGATTATGTGACAAGATGCAAAGTGAGTAATATGGCTTTAGAAATACCATATGAATAAAAAAAGACCAATTCACACAACCATGCATGCCTAAGTAGATGCAATACACTGCTAAGATTAATGAGAACTGCTGCTGTACCACTGTATTCCTTATGCAAATACGAAGAACAATACGTGGCTGTAGATACATATTCCAGATATTTATTTTAAAGCTAATAAATGTTTTTAACACTATCAGTGACTTTCTCAGATTATTTGGAAGTTACACTTAAACATTTAAAACTCTGCATCATGTTTCTGGGAACTGGGCATAGGCAGATGGAGCTTATGTGCATTTGTCTGTGAGGGCTCCTGTTTTTCCTGTCCATTACCATCAGAACTAAATGGTGCAGTGGGTGTTTCTGCATCAGATTATACAAATGAGGCACCCATTCAGATTAGACTGCTGAAGGTTGCATTGTTTTTATTTTGACATGTAGAAGATAAACTACACTGTATTTATGAACATCAACCTTTAAATTCTGTAAAGCAGTAAGTCTGAAGTGCACCTGTATGCATTCAGCAACTTAGATGAGAAAGTAACACACCCAGCTGAATTTGCATTATAAAATACACAAAGCCTTGGCAAATTACTCAATGTCAGGCCTTGACTGATAGCAAAACACACATAATAAAAACATTCCATCAAAGGTCACCTCACTTCAACCTAAAGTAGCTCCCTTTCACCCCATAGAGAGTTCCACTCACACAGGTCACCCAAACACCAGAGAATGTGTCAGGCCATCATGCAGCTGCACGTGACTGCTTGTCATCCACATTCTGGCCTTCCTGTGAAACTATCACCAAAACATTTCATTTTATCCCTCTCCACAGAGCTTCTAAGAAAAACAGACAGGGGGTAGACAACATCTAACCCCACCTCAGGGCATATCATCCCTGAAAATATTCACAGAAAATGTAAACTTAAGACACCAACATCCTTTGAAAGCTTCCACAAATTAAAAATACAAAAAACAAAAAAACCCCACTTCACAGATGTGCACTATGACACACAAAAATCCTGCTGTAATCTGTATCATAATCAGCAAACACATTCAACTTCATTAACCTGAAAATCAAACTCTTTTCAATTCAAAGACAAAAAAATCATGATTTGTAAGCACAGTTTTCATACCTTTTATAAGCAAAATACCAGCCTGAATGTATCACAGTGATTTACAGGTAAAGATAGGTGAAAACCTGACTTAGCAAAAAGATTATGAACCCCAGGACCTAGCAACTGTGTTAACAATATAGTTTCGTAGCAAAATTTTACAACAGTAAATTTGTAAAAAATAAAATTTGTAAGAAAGTAAAAGCGTAATGTTCTTTTCTTTTATAACTTCTTTCAAAGTTTCAACTTGAAAATAACCCCCATGAATTATATTTTACTATTGAAAACAATGGAATTGAAAAAAATATACAGACTAATATCAGTCTGTTTACAAGAGAAAACTAAGATTTACAAAATTTCTAGCCTGGTATAGAAATATTGACCTCATTTTATTACTTTGTGATAATGAAAGGCAAAGTCTTTCTATCTTCTGAGTAGCTTCACCTCCACCATTTAAAAATTTGATTTTTTAATATTTTATATAATGAGATCTGAGGCCTGGTGACAACTTTATCACTGAACAGGTAAGCTTCTGAAGTAAAGGAAAATAAAATAAAATATGCTGTTTCCTTTGTATTCCTACCAGAATGAAGGAACAGTTCGTGTCCTGAAGAGGGTCGGCTCCCTGAGCCAGCAGGTTTTGTGTGCTCAATCATGCTGTGCCGAGCAGGTGGTGGTGGTGGTGGGAGTGAGGGGGGAGAGTTATCAAATGCATCTTCACCTGCAGTTTAGAAATGAATTATTAGATGAGCAAGACTTCATTAAGAACTGCAGAATAAGAATAAATTTTATTTTTCTCTGGCTGCTGAGGCTTTTACTCCTATGGTTCATCTAAGCAGTTCAGTGACTCCAGTAATGAAACTGTAAACCTGACTGTTAATACCCACAGTCCCTTTCTAAAACATGCTCTGAATGACCTTTTGCCATGCTCAGTTTCTTTTCTGGGATGGAAGGAGAGATTGCTTTCAGTGACTCAATTGCCAAGATGTGTACTACAATGAAAGCTTCACCAAGTACCACAGTAGAATAACAGCTGTATTTCAGTGGCTAAGCAGGTGTATTTATATACAAACACCAATGCTGGCTGCACTGAATCTGCTACATTTACACTGTGCACTATCTCTATCTGCTGCTCAGAAGCTCTGACTCCAGATACAAACTGAATTTTCTAGAGCTAGGCAAAAGAACACCCCTCTTATAGAAAGGTGGTGCAAGCAGGACTGGAGTTACCAAGCACTGTGATTTTTTTGTTCTTTTGCCTGCATTTCTCCTGCATCTCAGCAACACTTCAGGGACCAGAGGGAGCATAGTGCAGCAACAAGGCAAATGTTCAAAACATTTTATGGAACCATAAATTTGGATGCTGACACATACACAGACACAACCATGCAGCTGAGTTTGACAATGAAGGTGTGGGTGGTCCCCAAGCACAGCACCAATATATACACAGAGATCACTAATTTTTGTGTTGGAGAACACAACAGAAACCAGGGTTGGAAAAAAGAGTTTTTGGACAGCAGGGAGTTTTGAACTGCCCCCTGATGGGGGAAAAAAAATCCCAGAAATTAACTTCATTATTTAATTTAGTGCTTTGGTTTGTTTTACTCAAATACCATCTTTTTGGCATTCTTCTTTTTTATTTTCTTTTTCTTTTTTTATTTGATATTTGATAAAATAAATGGAATTAGTTAAGCTACAGCAGGAAAAATGCTCCACTACTGCATTAAATTGCAATGCTCAAGCTTCTTAGTAAAGGACAATTAAAATTCATTTTAGCAAAAGTGGTTTTTACTTTTCTGTATAGCTGGACTACAGATTCAGTATACCTTTTTGTCCGTCTCGAGTGAGGCCCTACAAACAGACTCCAAATGACAGAAATATTGACTGACAGCTGCAATATTAGGTCATAGTCTGTTTGGTCATCCTAACATACTCAACATTGTCTGTTTTTCAGTAAATGTGGCATTTAGTTCATCTGGGCAGTGTTAACCATTCCATGTAATCAGCAAAAAGTCTGCAACCTAAAGGGGGCACCAGAAGATCATAATCGGAGGGTGTCCTGTTGAGCAAAGAGCTGTGTTTGGGGTTGTCTCTGGCAGGAGGCCGTGCAGGAGGCAAAGGTACCGGAACAGTAGGTGCATCATAGACATCTCCTGAATGACACAACCACAAGAAGTGAATGTTTTTCTGCTGCACCCCTATGGCAGCACAGAGTAAATCTTCTCGGCAAACAATGAAAGAAGAGAAACGTACCTGACTCGGGATGTTTAGATTTCTTTATCTCGGAAGTAGCACCGTGTGTTCCATTCGCACATTGACCATTCTCACACACCCTGAAGACAGACATTAAGCAGGAAGTAATCAACCATTTAGCCAAGCATTAATTCCCTGGATCAGCAGTACCTGGCAGTTCACTATATGGACACGAATCTGGGACAATAAGCCGCACTGATTTTTAAATTTACATTTTTAGATATTGAGAGTAGATACTGGTTAACCCTCATTAAAACTGCTTTGAAGGATTATACTGCTTTCTTGTACTGACATGGCTTAAAACAACACAGGCTTCAATACAAGTTAGAGGAAGAACTAACATTAAACACAGTCCTCACTTCAGAGCCCAGCTCATTACTTCATTCACACATCACCCTTATATCACAGCCTCAATCTTAGTTCACCTTCCCAGATGCTGAATTTTCCCTAGCAGGATAATGAAGAAAGGGAAATGTGGATTTTGGTAATTTTCCACACCAAAGCACACAGAAAAACCATTCAACAAAATCTAAGAACAACAAAAAAAAAATTCAAACAGAACACCACAATACATACTAATAACAAATTTCAATTCAGCCTTGCCAAACATTAACAAAACTCCAGTGAAAACCCCAAAATTGAACTAGCCAAAGCAGTTTTGCAGGAACCTATTCATTTCTGTATCAAAAAACTGAGCCTTGCTGATACTTCTATCACAGTTTACTGAGTTTTCTTTATTAAATGGAATCATATTTTGCCCTCAAAACTTAACAATGCTATCAAATTAATATGAAAAGCATCCAACCAAACAGTAAAGAGTGCCTACAATCTTGTTGAAAATATTGGACGTTATTTTTGTTCAAGTGAAGACTTTGTTCAAATATGACAAGGAAAAATATTGAACAAGCCTTTTCATAATATTATATACTGTTTAAAAATACAGAAGAACCAGGAAACTGCTCCTGTCACTGGAACTGTGGACCCTGTATATCCACAAAGAACCAGAGACTTTCCTTGGATAAAGGCCACCATGCTAAGCAATTCCAGCTTAAAGACAAAAACCCCATTCCACCATGCATCATTATTAATTAGACATTGGAATATCTGCTAGAGTTATATACAGCTAAAATTTCAGGTTTGGGGTTTTTACCAACAGTATTAATAAACCTATCAGCTTTGGTCAAATGGAAAGAAGGAATAAATAAGGGTCTGGAATCATTTAAAATATATAACCAGGAAAGAGGAAGTGAATTGCATTTGTGGTCCAAAGAGTTACAAATAAGGGTAATGAAATAAATGTAAGAGTAATTGCAAGATTTAAAAACAAACAAATAAACAAAAGCCCCTAATGGTAAGAGATCTTTTGCTATAAATTAACTCTCCCAGAGAAGTGCTAGAGGAAGTGTTTCTTTCTCTGAGATTGGTTCAGTCTTTCAAATGCACTGGATGCAACACTTCCTTTGACTCCTCACCATATACACTAAATAATTAAGAGTATTTTCTGCTCTAGTTTTAATCAATTCTGCATTTTCAATAATGTAACTAGCCACAGGCAGCATGGTAACTTAACACAGCACCACTCAGGAGTATTCAGTCCATGATGAGCCCGGCTAAGCGATCAGTTTACAAACAATGCTGAAATACCTGCTTACATTAACAGTAAACCCCAGAAAAAAGGGCACCAAATGAGTACTAACAAGCAAGCCTTTTCTCCTTTCCCCTTTTGGAAAAAGTTTTATTAGGAAAAGACAGCAAATCCAATAAGGTAATATTCTTCTAATAATAGTCTTATTAGTAATGCTGAAATTCTTTCCTTTTATTTCTTATTCCTGAGCTGATGTTCTGCGGTAACAAACCAGACAATTAAATGATCTGCCAGAAAGTAAGACTGTGAATCATTTTTTTGCATTATTCTTGAAATATTTTTAGCACTGTCATATCTACAGGTAAAAGAGAGAAAAGGCAACACAAATCTGGGAGTAGGATGGAACAATTACATAATTCTAAACCACAAAACATTCTGACAAAATTTTGAAGCTCTTTAGCTTACTGAAAACTTCAAGTACTATCCAAGAAGTGAGGGACTAATACTTTGGAAAGAGGTAAGATAAAGTGACAATGGGGAAAACAACTGAAATGTACTAAAAATTAAAAAAAAAAAAAAAAGAAAATAAGAGTTGATAACAGTTTTTCTGAACAATAATGAGAAGTTTCATTGAAAAACACCCCTCCCAAGTTACTTAATGAAATGCATTCAAAGAACACATCAAGCAGGAACCAGATTCTTTCTTGAAAACTTTATCTCAGCTTTCACATCTAAGTAGTGACATTAGCTAGAAGAAGACATTTTAAGTATGTGGAACACCAGACTTTTTTTTTTTTTTTCCTTAATGCCTAGGAGAATGGTTTGAGTTAAATTTTTTATCAGAATGTATAATAAGAGGAGTTGGTGGTTTTAATCATGGAGCAACTTGAATAGCCAACTGAGGCATTTGATCTGTATCAGGTTCTGAATTCATGTAAAAACCCCCGCCATATGCACAGTAAAAACTAGAGAAAACTTCAAAATCATCTTTCTATCTATAGCTTCTATTAGTAATTCTAAGGGTCTGGTAAAGTACTATACCAGCCAACTGAAGGCACTCAGTTATTTTTTTCTGTAAAATAAAAATTATAAGATTCTATTTCTCCAGCTGCTTATTTTCTCAACCTTTCAGTTTGAATCTATTTGCATCATTCCCATACAGAAGCACAACATGATTCCATAAAAATGGCATAGGTAAAAAGGATTAGGACCTTGGAATGTTTTTCTTCTTGCTTCCCATTTTTTTGCTCAGCCAACACAGTTTTATTTATCATTGATTTTTTTTTTTTTTAAAGTCACATACAGTAGATAAAAATTTAAGTACTTAAGTTCATTAAGCTTTGGCAATGGCAACAGTATTCATGTCTATGCAGTGAAGCCTGGATCAGGATTTCCAAGACAGAATTTTTAACCTGTATGCAAAGAATGATTGTATTATGATCATTTTATCTACCTGTTTTACATTCTGACTTAAAAGGTCTAAAAATTATTTCTGGCTAATTTTGGGGTGAGATACATGTTGAGCTTTATTGATGGCAGGTCCTCAACATCACATTCTGACAGAGAGAGTTAAAAATGGCAATATGTCACTGATTTTTTTTGATCACAGGAAGGTCTAAATTTTTTAGATCAATCCTTGATTTTAATACCATACTTGTGACCTACAAGATCAGTAAAACATTTGCCCTTTTTTTTTCTGTGACTCCAGTCATTCATAACTTTTTAAGGAGCAAAGTTCAGCAGGAATGTCACAGCCTTCAGTTGCCATGCCCTTGCTCCAAGTCTCCTTGTCATAATCCTTTAGTAATTCTGAACAGTGAAGGTTTGGAAGTATTGTTTCAGAACATATTTAAAGCTAAGGAGACATATTCCACCTGTATGTAAAAAAAGTTCTCTTCCTGAGAAGCACAAAAAAAATATACTGCCAAACAGGCTGAAAAAGCTAAAAAGACACACTATACATTGGACAAAAAGAGAATCAAAGTATGTCCATACAGCTTCCAGTTCACATACTTTTCAATACCACATTGCTTTTAAATTGAATTATATAAAATGTGAAAGGCAAAGAATTTCAAAGCTGTGAATTTCAGTCACACATTTCTTCTTAAAATTATATCTGAAAGAGTTTTAGGGCTTGGATCTCCAGGTCAGTTTTGAAAACCTCAATGTAAGGGGAAAAAAAGACCCCAAATGCAAAAATGGTGTCCAAAGGCAAAAAATACCCAGTTCTAACACAAGAGAGATACAATGATGTAAACTTCATAGGCTTTTATCTGTGTCAGTGGCCAAATGAAACAGAAGCATGGGTAATCCAAGCTTAGAAGGCAGGCAAGCTTAACCATCACATCAAACAATCCAGTTAATTTTGGAAAAAGCAGAGGTTTTGTAAAAAGATCTTTTTCAAGGCTGCTAAATTACCTTACCGAGCAAGAGGTTTTATATTATGACCATGAGGTGGTTGTGCACACAGTATTACAGGATGTGAAGAAGGAATTTTGTATTCATCATCATCATCTGGGTGCTCCCTTGATTTATCAGACAGAGAATTTGCTGAAGGACCAGGGCACCTAAGGAGAAGAGAAAAATATTGATTTATCTTTAGCTGTTAAGTACATGACCTCAGATAATATCAAAAATGCTCTTCTTTAGCCAAAACATCCTTAATATGTCTGCTGCATATAAGGAGACAAAAGCACCATGACAAACAACCTTGGAAGGCTACTGACTTTTTGTCACTGAGAATGCATAGAGCAAAGGGCAGCTGCCCTTCTAAGAGAGAAACAGCTACTTTAATCAAGCACAGCCGAGCAGAGAATTGCAAAGAATTAAGAGTACTAAATAGGCACTTGCAAGATCCAGCCAGTTTGCTTTATCAAAAGCACTAAATAAAAGTTAATTCTGGACGAAAAGTGTTTAGCAGGGCTTAGTGATGCAGAGGAGATTCACCCTTTCAGTGGCCTGTCAAGCTGTAAGGACACACAGTGTCCTCTCACATGTCTGGAACGTGCACGTCAGACTGCTCCTTCTGTCACCGGGGAGTGCCAAGCCAAAGGCTGATCTCAAGGGACACAGGAATTCCAAGACACAGTTTGCCCTAATGCAACTGTGATTTCACCTTCAAAATTTTGTTAGCAAGATGGGACAGACAGCAAGAAAACAAACACCTTTTGATACTACTGTTCCCTCAACTACCTCAACTCAAGGCAACTAAATATTCCTAACAAATTTATAAACTACAAAAGGTGCTTGGAATTGGATGCTTCATTACATACTCAAAAATGGATGCTCCCTCATGCAAAATACCACTGTGACTAATGGTACTTTTGAGACAGCACTGATGTAGCAAAATGGGAGCTACTCACCAGAATGAAACAAACACTACTTAACTTGAACACTTTGAAATTTTGGGGAAGAATCATTCTGTATCTTTGACATAAGAGTTTTAGATCTCTTTTCAAGAATAAAACAACAATTTGATCAAAAAGTCTTACATAATTACAGAAGTCTAAATAAAAATAACTATTTTTACATGTCCAGTCAAAAACATAGGGGCTGAGTGGAAAATAAAAATCAGATGTTCAGTTAGCAAGACTCCAATATTTCAATATTGAAGTGCAGTTTATCATAAGTACTTTAGCAAAACAAAAATAAATCAGCACTGTTTCCAGGAGAAAAAAAAACAACAAAAAACCAAAAACCTCCAGTGCTTTTCTATTAATGTAACTTTTTAAGGAAAAAAAAGTCACATTTGTAACATTATATTCAGTAAAGGCTGAACAAACAATTTAAGTAGGGACAATTTAGAATTGTGACGTTTCAAGTAAGAGTCATTTTGCCTCCTTGTTATTTAGAATAAGACATTTCATACATGATCAGTGTATCCTTCAGTCAAATGTTTGGAATTACTGACTGATTATAACAACTAGAAAGAACAGAATGCCTTGGAGCTATATGAAACAAACCAGCTCTCAATCCACCACACTGCACAGACTGGAAAGCAGGAAAAAAAATGAGCAACTTGCTCAGATTAATTGGAGTAAAACAGGGTATTTTGAATCAAGTACAGTTCAACATTTATGAGTGTTTAGAGCAGTCAATTCAACAGGAAGAAAAACAGACTGCAAAAATATTCTCTCTGACATTTCCAAATACATTATGATAGATATTATTTGAGCTACATTTTTTGAAAGCAGTTGCTGTGGTTGGTGGAAATTGCTGTTTTTAAAGTTTTTTTTCCCTTCCTCCCAAGTTTTTCTAACTACGTACTGTCACACAACATTATTGTGTATATAATATAAATATGCCTATATTATAGGGGTATTTCCTACTGGTAACAAAAACCTAATTTTAAATAAATTAAGACCAAACAAATTAGTGTTTAAAGAACATACAATGATCAATTTTTGCTTTTAAGAGTCATTCCATGGGATATTTTAGTAATTAGATAATTTGAACCTCTTACTCTTAGTATTATGTATTGGTAATTTTACATCTTAAAAATAAAAAATCTGAAACTGCCTGTGTAATTTTTAAAAGGTGTAAGCACAAAGCCAAAATAGAAATGAAACTTAATTTCTTCCTCAAAAATCAATGAAGCTTGGTTTTTGCAAATGAAGGTTCTTTCTTCTTCCTGGAATTTATCAGTTTTCTATTCAGAAGTCTTCAGTTAATGAAAATAATTTCTTTTGACCAAGCTGAAGTCACACATTCTAGCTTTGGATTGGCCTGACATGGGTTTTGTGCCTGTACATATTGTCACAATATTGTGTGGCCTTTCCAATGGTCTGTGTGCTCTGTGTAAATACACTATACTTTGGTTATAGGCTACATCTGGAAATATTTGAGAAAAAAAAAAAGGATTCTCATGAAGTGGGATGTTTTTCCATTAAATGAAATACAAAAATAAGAGTATTCCCCTCTTCAGATTTGCATTGTGTTATGAAATAAGTAGACTAGAAGGGCACTGATTACATGAGGTATCCAACTGGTACTCCTCTGAGACCCCATCTCCATCAGGTTACACTCTGACATTTAATTACAGGTATGTCTGGATAATATACTACATTTTTCTTCTGAACTTGCAGTAGGCATGGAGAATTTCACCTCAGCAATTGCTTCACCTGAGAACAGGCTTCTAAATAAAAAAGTCAATGCTTGACTGCACCTTTATTGTAGCACTCAGGAAGAAAAAACCCAGAATATTAATAAAGTGCTGAAATATATTTGACTTCTATATTGAAGCTAACTGAACACAAAAATGAAATAAGTTCGGGACTAATATGAACTGACTGTCCAATTATATTATTTAAGAGCAAGAATCACAAGCAGAACATTGGAAAGAAGTTGTAGGATAGCATTATTGTGACATGCTCCAATTTCCTTACAAAAACACAAAAAAAATGAAAAACCACATTATAGGAGTTCCAAGATTTTGACTTTAAATATATCTTGTTCTGTACAAAATCCTGTGTCATTCAGAATCTGAAGATACTTGCTGTGACAGCAACATCTTTATTTAAAAAATAAACAGTCATTTTACTGGAAGACTAACAGTAGTCTGCAATTGAAATGACAAATCTTCCCCATATTCTGGAACTCAGGGAGGTTGATCATATTTAAAATTATATAAAATGGTTTTGGTGCCTTGTTTTTCAGCCGTAACAAATAAGAGATGATAGTGTGAACCCCGGATAAGGCTCCACATACTGAAAGCCCAGAAAGACTGACTAGATTAGGGGTAGAACAGTGACAGAAGATATTTTTTAGCCCTAGCACTTTCCCTAGAATCTGTCATCTCCTGCAATAAATAGCTCTGACCACACTTCTCCTGCAGTAATAGAAGCCAAACCAGACAGTATCTGCTCTCACTGCCAAATGCCTGTGAGCAAAATCTGCCACAATTTATCCTCTCTCCCTATACAAACATGCTGTGTTCAATTAACATTAGGACTGCTCCCACTTAATCAATACCATTTACATTTCCTTAAGGAAAAGGCACATTAAAATTAATGGAAAGCATATCAAATTGTATTAGTTAATTTCTTTCTTTTTCTCATTTTTTCTTTTAGCACCAGAGAGTTGGTGCTATTATCTAATATTAATTAGCATTTTTCTTTTATAGATAAAGTTAACTTACTTTATACTAGGGATGACGGAGCCAGCTGGAAGAGGGGGTGAAAGCCGTGGAGGGACATCATATTCTTCATTTATTAGATGACCATTTGAAAAAACCTAAAAATCATACAAGTATTACAATGGGTATCTCCTTCTGTCACCATGGATATTCATCAACTAAGTATTACACAGCAGACTTTGAGAAGCCTGTGGATAAAGGCTTTCCCAGGAGTTCACACCACAGAGCCTCAGTGAAGTGAAGTCTCAGGCCTGCTTCAGCTCAGCCCATTTCGGAGCTGTAGAACATGTTAGTTTAAAACTCCACCAAATGAAGTTTAACTTGACAGTTACTAGAGAGACACCCAGTTACAGATGAACTGCTTGGGGGAAAATTAACATTTCCAGATCAAAGTGAGAGAGATGAAATGTAATGGCAAAGCAACAGGTACATCATACTGAACATATTAGTTATTAAAACTGTGACACAGTGCCTGCTAGAATCCATCCTCTACCCACAGGATTGTCTTCCCAATTCTCAGCCTCTACCAATAGCAAAATGTTTATATTAGAATTGATGTAAGAATCAGGGAAGAAAATTCATTCCTTGTTTCCCTCATGAATGTAAATACAGCCTGAAATTGTAATTCAGGATTGCTTCTGCTAATCAAATGGTTTAGATCTACAACCTGAAGATGACAGTTCAAGAAGTACTTGGTTAAAGACACATAACTTCTCCAGACTACACTTCCACACTGACTGGGTACTCTAATTTGAGAAGCAGTCATTCCAACAGCTTAAGTACTGTGCTAGACCACAACACAAGTGCCACATGAAGGTACAGTTGAGGATAAAAACCCAGATCTTTGAAAATCAGAAGAAAGCCTGCAGCATTTTAAACAACAGCCTAGTTCTATGTAAAATGTTGGTGCTTGCCCTCAATGCTAAGCATTATATAATCATAATTTAATTATATATAACATCCTAAATTACTTAAGTACCCTTCAACACACGTCAACACCCCTTATCAACAATAACTGAATTTCAGTAACGTACTTTCAAAATAACCAAAAAACCCATATATACATATTGATATCTATCTGTACCTTCATCTATACCTATATATATCTATATATGGGAAGATATTTGCTATATATATACACACACACAAAAATGAATTAACTGGAGATACAAAGGTTTAATAGCCTGTGGTCTTGAGAAAAGCAAATAGATGAAAAAAAAAATTTTCTAACAACCATTACTTAACCACAAATCCATCCATCTAAGCAAGAGCTATGTAGTCTTGCGCAATCTATGTAGTCTTCAAGCTAAGAGAGCAGCTTTGAGTTACTAACCTCTATGAATAAATTACTGAGCTGCTTTGATAAAACTGATTAGAGCAGAACTAGGAATTTTTTCTTAGGACATCACCATTTGATCTCCTTTCAAAGCTAAGCCTGACCAGCTGTAAATGGCTTTGCAAATGCCTGAAGCTGCTAAATGACAGCATTCACCTCACCTACAACAGAGCTAACTGGAACGTCTACTATTCCATCAGAAATGCACACACAGTTTTGGCATATGACAGTTCCAAAGTGGACTTGAGATGCTATGTTATTACAGCACACAGGGATACGCTGTTGTCGTGGATAATTTGCTACAAGAATATAGCAAATCTAGAATATTCTCTCAAAGATATTTTTAGAAGGTTTTATGTGAAAATTGTAACTCAGACCCTCATGTACTGTTGCTTTACAAATTACAGTATTTAACAAATCATTTCTTTAAGAGCAGCTTATTATTAAGTATCAACAGAAAAGCTTCGGAAACCACGAATCAACACTGGCCGATATACACAGCGCGTTAGCCAGCGCCAGACAATGCCGCAGTAGGTGTGAATTTATGGCTCGACAGCCAGTCCATCAGAAATACCTTGGCACCTTCTGCAGGCAGCTCGTGTCGCCGGTGCTTCCTCACAAAGCCCTGCTCAGAGCTCACGCGGCCGTGCCTCCCGTTTGAAACGGCGGTCAGTCCTGCTTTGGGCGAAGCGTCGCCCGCCCCGCGGCAGCCCACCAGCTGTCCTGTCCCGAACACGTCCCTGGGACACCAGGCCTCGAGGGGCAGGGGCTGGTCCCTGGCAGGCAGGCTCTCGGGCTGGGGCAGGTGCCGGCCGGCCCTGCTGTCCGGCAGCATGGGGGGAGGCCGCTCGGGCGGCGGCGGCGGAGGGTCCCGCAGGGGAGGTGGCGGCGCTGGCAGAGGTTTGTCCTGTTTCCTCACCATGCAGGGCGAAGACTAAACAACACGGGAAGTTACGAGAAAAGAAAAAGAAAGGTTACACGGAGGCATAAATGCTGCTCGTGACCAAGTATGGCTCTATCATTTCTGACGGAGACATTTTCTTGTCAGGAGGTTGAATGCAGGCCTTGCCGGCATTCCGCAGACAACCAGGCCCTTCTTCAGAAAACATGCCCCCAGTTCTGATGTCACACGAGTAACCCAAGCGAGGAGTGGGAAGCAGAAAAGACAATTAAGTCAAGCAGATTTATTTGACCCATAGTTCTTTCCAGTATCCTTTGCTTTGATCACTTGAACCGCTTACTCATCTGTGGAAATGAATTCTGTGGAGTGTTTGGAAAAAACGGGCTTCCTCATATGGAAAAGTGTGTTGAAAAACCCAAAATCCCAAACAAAATAAAATCCCAGAGGAGTAACTCACTGATAGCAAGTGAGCACATAAAGCAATGATTACAGAGCAAGGGGAAGAAGAAACAATAATTTCATTTTTAATTATATACCGAGGAATGACTCCAATCTTTACATGACATGCACTGTGTTAGAGTACCAAATCTGTTTGAACTGCATTCAGTTTTTCAGGTAGCAGCCTAATTAGTTTGTAGTTTTACTTGCAATTAGCTTATCTGGAAGCAACATTTGTCAGAATACCTGCTTTCTAAGAACTGAATTACATCATAAATGGTTGAATGTGGTCTAAAATTATGTATGCTAATACTAAATAGCTGAAACCCACGTTATCAGGAAAAAAACCTCACAGCTGCACAAATCTGAGCACAAATCTGACAAAACTAAAACATTTTCATTATGACTGAATTAATAATGGCAATTTACAAAGTAACATCTGGGCCAGGTCTTTACAAATGTTTTATCTCCAGCTACCATAAGGAATACAGGGAAGATTATTTCCCTGGGAATGTATAATTTTCTTGGACTTTGGTAAGCCTGCATTTTATTATCATTTAAAGAAATGGAGGTCACTGAACTTTTTAAAGTAAGAACAGCATTTGCTCTCACTTCACTGGCTAGCTCAGCACTACTCTTCAAGCAGCACCTAAACACATCACTTGAACAGAAAATAAAGTTATTCTACCTACAGACCCATGCATTTTAAAAGGAAATAAACTAAATAAAGAAGTGTTTAACTCACTTACTAGTCAAGTAAAATAGTTATTTCCATGGTCAACAAAGGAAAATAATACCCTGATCCAGATTTTTTGTTATACCTTATACTTATAAATTACAGTTTTTAATTTGAGCAAAACAGAAAAGTTGTGTGATTTTTTCCTGAAGGAGTAGTTTTGGCAGGACTAAATAGTATTTTTTTTTCTCTCAAATATAATTTTGTTTAATGTAGGAGACTATTCTTGGTTGCCCCTGTTCTGCTTCCCTTGCACCCCACAAATTTATATTTTTACAGGAAAATTTTCATGTAAAAAAAGCATTTTCAAAAAATTAAAGCAGCATTAATGTTATTCTTGGTTTGCTTTTCTTTTAAAGCCATGAACTCTGCAAAAACCCCTATTGTAAAACTAATTCTTAATGGATGTGGCATATGCTTTGTGTATATCCTCAATGTGTTATAAATTCCTTTGTATAATATAAGAAGTTAAGAAAGAAAATTCAATAAACTATTCAGACTTCTATTTTTCCTTCTAAATTATGAACCAATAAGATCTTAAAAATATACTGCTTTTCAACCTTAAAGTAAAAACCTGACAAAAGAAACAAGGTACTGCAAACTGGATATGAGCACACAGGTTTCAAGTCATGTCGTGAACTTGAATTTGAATTAATCATATAAAAATGAAAAATTTTAATCTAACTCCCTCTATACAGCAATTACAATAAAACAATCAACATGTTATAGAGAGTAACAAACAGTATTTGTTCTCTTTCATGCTTATTCACTCAAAAAATCATTGAATCTTCAGTATCACTAGTTTTACAGAACATAACATACAATCTTATTTGCTATAGAGTCATTATTATTTCCCTTGAAATTTGAGTCCTATTATATGCCATTTAAGGTTTTGAAAGCAGTGTATCTGCACATATTTTTCTTGTAAGGACACTGTGCAAATTGAACATAAATCATCATAAAAGGAAAACATATAATTTTAATGAGATAATGACCTTTAAATCTATTTTCAGGAAACTTTAGCTTCTATTTATTTTCATTAATCAGAGTTTGTTACAGAACTGATCCATTACTGCAACATCATTAAAATTCTGACCATAACCAAGTACAAGATAATCATCAGACAAACTGAAGTCATATTTGACCAACACATGCAGCCAAAAACATTTAACTATATAAGGCATTATGGAAAGAGAAGAGACTTCATCAAGATTTTGGGCAGAGCAAAATCATGAAAAAGCAAAATCCATGGAAATGTTTGTAACAGTCCACTATACAAAACAAACAAGAAGCTCACCTTGGAAAAAAGCAAATACAATTTCTCAGAACTATATCCAGAAATAATGGTTCAGTACCACTTACCTTTGGTGACCCGGTTGGGCTGGCACACGGTGACCGTGCTACTCCCTTCTGAATCAGATCCAGACGGGGAGGTACAGGTGGAAGACTCAGATGTGGGATTTGCAGGGGGTCTGGAAGTGGTTTTCTTCTTTGTGCAAGAGGGGAAGATCCTGGGGAGGTCACTGGTGAATTCTGCCTCTCATTGCACTTCAGGATAGAGAAAACAAAATTGCCTTTTACCTGATGATCAAGTATACAACTTCCATTCCACAACTAAAACACTTGATGCTTAGCAGATATTTACTAAGAATCAATTATAATAGTCATTTTTCATAATGGACATCTGGACAGTACAGTTCAACTTGTAGTTACTGAAGAAGAACTCTACAAGTCATTTTACCTCAAAATTAAGACCTGTGTTAATTTGTGATGAAAATAAAAGAATACATGTTCCAGCAATTTGTAGAAAATCTTAACGACAATGGCCAAACATGAGGAAAAAAACCCCATAACCCCATACCATAGCACTACTACCCTTGATAACCTTTTTATTAATAGAGAGTACTCAATCTAAAGTTCTACAAATTACTTTTAAAAACTGGACATCCATGATATTGTCTGTTATTGCTTGCTGCCCAATTTCAAATCATACTTCCATATGAAACAGAATGCATGTCTTCTGAAAATTCACCAATCAAAATCACCAGCAAGATATTCAGGAAAGAAGCAAAATTAGCAAAAAATGGAGCTGTTACAACAATAATTTTAGAATAATTTTATCATTTAAACAAATATTGAACTAATAACACAAACATTTAACATCCCCTTCCAGTGACAAATTATGATTTCTTTTTACCTGGACCTATCCTTTCAAATTCATCAGAACAAAGATTACAACTCTTAATATAGGTCTCCACCCAATTTTTCAACTAGTCCCAACCCTTCATCTGGTTCAGTTTTAACAAACACAGCTCAGGCATTTGCACAGATCAGTACAAGTTATTTCTATGAACTCACAGAATGAGTTTCAGTGCCCTGTAATAAACCTGAACATCTGTGCTGTTCTGTGCTTTCCCTGAGAGTAGACACGAGTAGCTGGAAGACATTCCCAGGAAGGATCAGCCTTAGGCCACTTGTGCATTGAGGCATCCCACTGTTCTCATATCACAGCTTGCCTAAAGAGGTAAAAATGCACCCATCTTTAGGCTAAACCCCTTTGATAAAGACTTCCCCCTCTCTTCATAAGCTTTTTCTCATGAATGCTGAACATCCCATAGTGGTAACTAGAATGAGAGTAGAAAGTTCTTCAGCAAGGTAAACAAGTAAGCAACACTACCTTTCTTTATACACAATCATTGTATTAAAGAAACTGGAAACTTCATCAATTCAAAAGCAGATTGAGGAAAAGTATCTATAGCAGTGACTCCTTATCAATGCTCTGTACTACAGCTTAGTTTAATCTCCCATTCCATACAATGGATTGCTACCATATCTCCTTCAAAAATAGGAGCCACCAAAGTATTGCTGTCAACAGTGCACAAAAATGCAGGAGAGGGGAGTGAGAAGATGTTGAAAGCTGGAAGGGTAATGTGCAACTCCATCATCAGGATGATTGTTTTGCTGCTATTTAGAGTCTTACCCATTTTGTCTACGTGTGCAAGCTCAATGTCACAACTAAACATTCAAATTCAGGAGACAGAGCAGTTTAAGTTTTGTGGTCTTCATGGCTACCAGAAGTTTCTCAGTTTCTCTCTTCATTGAAAAGGTGGTCTTAATACTCATATTAAATGTCTTGAATAAAGTCTTTAAATTTTGTTTCCTTTAATTGGTGAACAACCCTGTCCTTGACTGGGAGACCATAAAGATAAGCACATGAATTACTGAAGCATTTAGCTGCTCAACATTAAGGGAAGTTGAATAACAAAGTAAGATAACTATCTTGCGAGCATGCCTGAGCAACCGAAATTATCGTTATTATAAACCGAATGTCAATTCATTTTCCTTATCAGAAGGCATCTGTCAATTAAACAGCACAATAAACATATCATTTAATAGCATTAGTTTTCAAAGTATAGTTACAAGTCCATAAAGCATTCCTGAAAGCCAAGAACCATGCAATACAATATACTCAAAGGATTGACTTCAACAGACACAAAATGAATTTATTTCCCAGATTATCTGAAATAGATAAATAAGGCAGGTCACACCTCCAAGAAGATTCAATTATTTAAAATAAATGAAAGTGATGTAGTTAAGTCACAGCATTTTTCAGTGTTGCACAACATAATGCATTTCAGTCAGTGGGGAATCATTCCAGAAGAGCAATCATATATGTGATAGGAATAGGAAACAAAGAGTAAGAGAGATAGGAAATACTGAAAACCCTTTATTGGACAGGAAACACTTGTTTGGAATTTAGAATGTTCTAACTGTCACATCATCAAAATAATTAATGCAATTTTTTGAAAGAGCAACCCAAGAGTCTCAAATAGGAGACTGCATGGAGTTGTAAAAATCCCAGCTAAGTGAACAGCACTGTAGTGATATCTTCTTAAGAATATCCACCCCTGCTTCTATCTGGCAAACTTCTCTTACATGGTTCTGCTCTAAAGAAGCATTAGACAAAATGATACCCTCTTCCCTCAGTGTGCTCGCTGGTTCCATCCATGTCAGACTTCCTTCCTCCTGCTGCAACAACAGTCTAGCTTTTGCAGAGACAAAAACCATAGAATATTCACATTTAAAACCCATTAATATAGAAGTTCAAGATTCTTAAACCCTGACATGCTTTTAAACCCAATGAAGCAAGCTATTTAATTTATGTGATAAACTTCTATTTCCATCTATTCTTGGTATTTGGCTACCTATATCACATTCCGTGGATAGTAAACCACAACTAACAAAACTAAATGGAAAATTTTTGAAGCAGTAAGTGTGTGAGAAGACTTGAATTTCAGCTTACATCCATGCCTTGTTATGTCTTGTTTGAAAATAGTGATTTTTTGGTCCCCTGGACTACCATGCTATACTACAGCCACAATGCTAACAGAACATACTGTGACCCCAGAGATTTCAAAGCTTTGCTGGGACAAACTAATAATTCCTTGTTTGGATCCACCAATACTAGAAATAAATCAAATCTAAATATTCCACGGCAACAAACAGGTTTTCCTCAGCATTCAGTATCAGATTTCCATCATGTTCCCATTATGAAAATCCCATATTTTTCAGTCCACCCCCATCTAACCTGTCTAGCTGCATCATTTGATGTGTGTTGACAGCTAGGCCAAGAAGATGGCTGCATCTCATGTGGATACCAAGGCATTAATAGATGTACTAATATCTACTCTTTGTGGCAAATTCTCCTAAAATTTCTCTGTTTGTCACCTACAGAGATTTCTGTGTGTTTTCTATACACTGGGAAAAAAATGTGCAACAAGAGAGAACAGTGACAAAAAGCTAAAGAGAGAACAGTGACAAAAAGCTAAAACAATCAAGTGATTAAGACACAAACTAACTCAAATGAACTGGCAGTGACAGAAGACAGACCTTCAGCGTACAAAGGGGCTCTGCTGCACCACACAGAGACCTGTGCAATAAAGATGTAATTAAGGAGAAGAACACAGACTCCTTTGTAACAACATGGACTTCATCTGGTTGGTGTGACTGCTGCCAAAGGAAAAGCAGCTGCGACTTTGCAGTTGTACTGCAGAAGGGACCATACTTGTGTTATTCCATCAGATGCATCTGTTACTGGGATATACTGGTATCAGTTTGCCCCTAGCAGCTGTGAATTCAAGAAAAAGCCTGTTTCCAACCCTGATTCCAATTTCTAGCCAAGGTTTTTTCTGATGGAAATATTAACAGCCAGGCTATTGAATCAAGAGCTTTTAAATAGTTTTATGCCAAATAGGCACGTATGAAAAGCATATTCAACATAAATCCTAACAATTGACTCACTGAGGAATACTATTTTGCCTGTTAATGTCCTTGGAGCAACCTCAAACTGCATGAGACATCTAAGAAGGTCCAAGCAGACCTACACCAGAAGTAACTTCCTGAAGTTACTTTATTTATAATCAGGTAAGAGTAACTCATGTATTTGTTATTTCTTGTTAAGATAAGCTGTGACCTAGGTAGAGCTGTATTATCTAGGCTTAAAAACTTACACGAGGATATAAATTTACATCACTTAACACTGATGACTTTAAACATGTTTTTAAAAGACAGATTTATTCCCTTTATCATTGCTGACCCAAGAAAATGCATATGAAGGAGGGAAAAGGAGTTAGGTCTGCTAGAGTCAGCAGCACACTGCCAAGGGAATCAGTAATTAGGGGAGGCACACTGCCTCCCAGCATTTAAACCCTTCAAATACTAGTAAGTAATCACTTAAGTAAGTCACTCCAGTTGAGTGACATGATCTTAATACATTCCCACCAACCAGGTGTAGCATTATGTAGGCAGTGATACATATGTGTCAGTTCAGGTACTGCTGAAGGGAATATCTAGATACATATTTTAAGTCTTATTTTATATATTTTTATATTTCATATAATGAAATTAAAAACATTATTACCATGTATTACATACCTTCCTCCATTACCAGAAAAAAACTCAACTTAATAATAAGGAAATGAGTGAAAATAGCCTTCTCCCATATTTTGAGAGCCAAGGTCTTTTGTTGTGATTTATCAAATTTGACCTAGCTCATCTGCTGGAAGAAGCCTAGTCATGGCAAACTGTCTTTGAGCCTTGACAATTTCCTATCATTATTTTAAAGTACAGGGTGAACCAATCAATCAGGGTATTGTGCATTCAGACATCTAGGAAAATAATTTCAGACATGACAGTAACACCCCAGGATGGGGTAACTGCATCTACTTTTAGACAAAAGTATTTGTAGACTGTGTTAATTCACTTTAAGGTACTGAAAACCTCAGACTCCTATACTGGCAGAGCCGTCTATGTTTTCATGGGATATTATTTGCATAATAATTACCTTAAGCACTTAGGAATTTAAAATTATTTGCTCTTAGCAAGAACTCCTGCACTATCCATTTTCTTATTTTCTTTCTTTTTAAACGAAGTGTATCAAATTATGTCTTGTACCAAGGAAAAGTGACAGAGAACTCTTCATTCATTAGGAAAATTAAATATTAAACATTATAGAATAATTAAAATACTCCACAAGAGACTGAAATGCTGTCTTGAAAAATAAAAAAAAAAAACACGCTATTTTCAATATTTACCTGAGCCTGTAATCTTTTTTTTTTTTAGAATGCATTTCATAATGTTTGCTTTGCTAGAATAAAAGCTGAGAAGAGGAACATTTTGGAAAATAACTGCATTTGCTAATCTGATACCACAGAGCTGGAAATTTCTTGGTGAGGAAACAATTAACAGAGGGTTTTGGCACCACTCTTCCTCTTTCTTTCATTAAGAAATATCTGAAGACAATTTGGAAATAATAGTAATAAAAAAAAAAAGCTGATTGATGAGGCAGATAAACAGCCTAACTGCAGTGGATTTCTCCAAAGCCTCTGTCAGAGCTGACCTGCTGCTACTGCTGACTCATACACAACACCTAGCAAGAATTATTCATTTTTCTTAGTGCGTATCCACTTACTAATTCCTTTAAAGAATGACAAAGGAGCTTCATGATTATTCTTTTCCTTTAAGTAATTTCAAGTCTTTCAGAGACTTAATACAGACACTTCTGAGTGTTTCTGAGTACAGTTCATACATTAGAGTGATAAACTGCAGAACTGATATTTTTCTGATATCAAATTGAGTATTTCCACAACACATCATGAAGCCCTACAGTCACTTTCATCAGAACTTCATGTCCCTGAAATTCTCCTCTTCTAAAGGGTTTCACAGCCCAGCTCACTACTAGCCAGATTTTTTCATAGAATAGTCAGCCAGGTGACTTGACACAAATATAGCCCATTTGATTTTCAATGATTAACAGATTTATGTTGAGAAAGCTTTCCACAGTCCACGCAATAAAGTAAGAATTGAAAAATTTGTTCACTGAGATGACAAAATTACAACAGTACCAGCAGGTTGGCTGCAAGAGCTAAATTACTGTCTTTGCCACCTAACTTCCATCATTTCAACAAATTACTTTACTACAACACAGTCATTATGCAGCACCCTGTTCAAATGAACAACATTAATGACAAAGAAAAGAAAATTTCACAGAATAAAGTTCTACATAATGTCATAGAGAAAAATATAGTTTCTTTTAGCAGGCTCCAAAGATACACTGCTTAGCAGGAAAAACAAATAATGGTTAAAGAAATAGGCAAGTCCGATGAAGACATTGCTAACAAAAATAATATTTATAAAAATAAAAATAAGAAACAATTCCATATTACATACAGATGACATGGCTAAGACCATCATTGCACAACCAATGGTAATAAGTTTAAGAAGTTTAAGAAAACAGTGGCTAAAAATCACCAAATGACCCAATAATTCAACAATTTCAAATAGATTTCAAGAGGCTGGCAGAGTGAAGATTTCTTTCACCGAACAATGAAATCAATGAAATAAAAATAGCAAGGCACCAAAGCACTCAAGCACTTGGTGGATACCTAAAAGAAGACTTCTTATAGTAAACCTACTGTTCCTTCTTTTGATAGAGGCATAATGCATTTTTGCCTTATCATGGAAGTGATAGCGTTATAAAAGCCCATCAATTCAAGGCTATCTCACAGAGGTCATGCTGCAGACTGCAATTTAAGTCCAGGCAGGAAGGATAAACTGTTCCCAAGGGTAGAGCATGTTGTATTACGTACACAACACAAGAATGATTCATAAGCCTTAAGAGGTTAGGAAGGATATCAGCAGCATGTATATTAACTGACAGATACTCTCAGATATGAGGGTGAAAAATGCTTTTTTTTTTTTCCTAACAAATGCAATGATAAGGAAATGGCAAAGTAAGATGTTACAAAATTAATTCCAAGGCAACAATTCAATCTGGATGACCTTAGTATAAGGTAAAATCTAGTAAATGCTCTGTCAAAATCAGTGTTGCATGCCCTTTGACAATATCTATTCCAGAGCAAAATACAGTAGTAAAAAACTATCACCATAAAATTAACTTTTGGCAATGACAGTGCTTATTTCTCAGTAATAAAATCTCCTGCAACAAAGATCTCTGAATTTAACACAGAGCACTTTCAGGACAAAATTGTGTGCAGTATGAATTAGGCATCAAGTCACTTTTATGAAGTAATAATATTGAAAACTGTTTAGAAACTCAATTTTAATCCTAAAACATTCTATGCATGTGTACACACATATAGGAATTTTTTTCTTCTTTACAAATAAAAGCTCAGGGAATTGTCCATACAGCATAATTTGGGTAAGAGTTTCAGCTGGTGCATACTTATACTTCACCCTTTATAAACTAAGTTATCTCAGTTCACATCACCTCAGCTGAGAATATGGAATATTCTTTTCCTCCAGTTCAACTTCAGTTTTAACGCATTTGTATTGACACATTTTGTTTTTTCTCAATCCAACAGCTGTTCAGTGAGATGCTGTGAGCTAAAGCATGAAGTGCAACCTCTCATTGTTTAAAGTTACAGGCAGCTTTGTTTACAAATGTCTGGGCTTAGCAGTTGTGCAGTGTTGGGAAAGTTACCTTTCGGACTGAAGCCAAACGATTCATCATTAGAGACTCTTCTCTATCATCATCATCATCCAAGTCCAACATGGGCATACTAAAGCTATCCATAATACTGCAGCACCTGGAGTTCTCATCCCTGGGATCAAAGGGATCCACAATGATTGGTTCTGTTCCTTTGATTTCACAGCGGCAGAAAGGGCAGCCTTGGCCATCTGATTCCTACAGCAAGATAAAAAAGTAGATAAATTTTAAAAAAAGAAACAAAGCCAGCGATAATTTAAAAGTAGGACTTACACCTTATACACAGAAACATCCTCAATCAGTCTCTAAAAGCTTGTAAAGAAGGACTGGAATAAACAGGAAACAGATTAACAAAACAGATTAACAAATATTTAACTACAGTAAATCTTAAAATGACTGCACGTTTAAAGCTGTCTCTCTTTAAAAGATTAAACTTCACTTAAAAACAACTAATCAAAATGTAACTATTATCTCTTCAAAGCAGTAAAACAGTCTTAATATTACAGGTCAGGAAGCAACAGGATTCCTTCAGGCTTACAATTTTGCTATTTCTTCAAGAGAAAGAAGGTGAGGTGTGTAGACAGAGATAATGCATTTTATTATATACCTTTTATATTAACCAGAAAATATTTCTTTTTCATTTGACATTAGAAAGTGGAAGCAAGTTTAATGGCATGCAGCTCTTCTTGTAAAAACATATTCAGCCCATCACAGCTACAGCATTACCAACATTCAGAACACCTAAGGCTACAAGCAGCTTTCTTCACATTTACATAAAAAATCAGGACTGAACTACATTTTCAATAAATTATATAAGACAATGAATTATTTTCACATATTATCAGAAATGAGAACTACTTGAATTTTAATTTTTAAGTCATATGTGTTCACTGATTTTCAAGCATCCATATTCTATTCCTTTTACTTATTTCAGAAATGTATTTTTTCTCGTCAGAAATAAACAAAAAGCCTTTAGATTCAGACTACTAATGAACAAAAATCAGAGAAGTCTTTTCAAGCACTTATAGAAATATTTCTATCAAGAAGCACAACAGCTACTAATTACTAAAAATAAAACCAAAAGCCCACCACCAAACAAATAAAACCACAGACAAATCCACACCCAGAACCATGAAGCTTTGAGAGTTTAGGATAATTCAAAGAGAAATCAGAAATCATGTTGTGTTGTATTTACAGTCAGGTAGACAGACAGCTAAAAGGATATGAACACCAAAATTAATTCTAAACCTCCTACTGATACTGAAATATAACCAAGCAAGCACAGGTTTTTGATTTCTCAGATGCAAAAACAACTTTAACTTTCTTTCTAGCTTTATTTTTATCTTGACACTTGCCAGTCTTACTAAACTGACAGATGATTTTACAGTTTTTGGATAAGCTGTATCACAAGGCCAGATGAGCATAAATGATGTCTTCTGACATCACTCGCAGGATCAGTACTGGATTTTCATTTTGTATGGAAAGACACATCTACTCTATTTTCAGCACTGTGAGTACAACTAATTAGTCAACTTCACTACTGCAAAAAACATCTTTAGATTATATGGTCCTGCTAAAGTAGCTGTGGTCAAGTGAGCCGAAGTCCTCCCTCACTCTGTACAACTCCTTACAGCTTCATTTTCTTAAAAAAAACCCCAAAATTATCAATGAGGCAACAGCTTTTACTTTTCAAGGCTTTCTTGTACCTGTGTTCTGCACTAGCAGTTTCCATCCTTTCTTTAAAATGTCTTAGTAACTAAAAACATCAGCAGACTTGTATTCAATAGTATGAATATATATCTGACTCACACTTGCCCATGCCCTCAAAAAGGTTATTCAAAGCCTTACAATACAGCCTATACATATGCTTTTAGAAAACATGTACTTTTCAGACAGCAGATTTCTGTGGTATAAAATGACATTTTACTCCTGTTGCATTATACAAAAAGGAAATAAATAAACCAAGTCTTATGTGAGAGACTGAGCCCCATAGAGGTGAACAACTCAATCATCCTTAGTATTCTACGCAGATCTGATGTTGCTTACTCGAATTTTTTCTGCTTAGTGAAAACATCTGTATTGGATCTCTTGAGGCATGGCTAACGAGCCATTATGCTGCCAATTAAACAACCCACCAGAATCTCACAACAGCTGATGCTGTTATACTGTAATATTTCTTCATTGCCTCACTAATTATACAAAAGTTAAACTTGTAATGAAGTCTGAAATGTACCTGACCAATTACAGCTGGTAGCTATGTTCTGATGAAACCTGGTGCATCCAAACACGTCAGTTTTCTGAGCCTAAAATGCTTTGTCATTCTCTTCCTGAATCCCTATCCCATAACCAAGTACTGGGGATCTCAGCTTCTCCAGTCTCCAGAATCAGAGCACATCACTGGTCCAAGACTGCAATGTGCTCCTACCACACCACAAGACACCCAACAATCAGTAGTTGTACAAGTACAAAGTAGAAGTACAAAGATTTCAGTCCTTCTGCTTAGCCCTGTCAGCTGAGCCAAAAAACAAATGAACAAGCAAACAAAACTAACAAAACTACAGACCTTAGAATTTTTTAAGTCAATGATTTATGTGGTCAGACCTCTATGTCTGACATTCAGAATGAAACTTGAAAGAATAGAGAAAGGGTACTCCTGAAATGAGAAATATTGTTCCAGCCCAGCAGCTACTTAGTAGTGAAATAAATATACTTTTGTGGGTATGCCTCAAATGGAATTTCCTCAGAATTTCTGATCTATGGCAAATTTGAAAGATTTGTGTTTGGAACATCAAACTCAAATTTCACAAAGAACACAAAATTGGAAACCGAGAGTACTTCTTTTTCAAAAAACTTTTATTGCTAATGGAAGAAAAACTCAAATGATACTTCTGATATATCATGTTGGTTTGCCACTGAGGCTTTCTTAATTAGGTAGAAAATGTCCTAATTAGAAAAGGAAAATTATAGTAATTGAAGACATGCCACTAATGTAAGAGTGAAAACACACTGATGGAGGTGAACTCATTTAAAAATAGGTCCAAAATGCACTAGACTCAAGGATTCCTTTTATTCCTCTCACTACATTTATAAGCATTGACTGATTATTAAATGTGGAACAAAGAGAACTGGATGAACCTTACTTTTCCCCATAAAATAAAGATATGAAAGAAGGGGCAGGGATGATGCACAACTGTAAAGAGGACTTCAGACACTACTTTTTAGGTCAGCTGCCCTGAATTAAAGGTACCCATTCTCCCTTTTCCCACAGACTGGAACACCCAAGAACAAGATGGACAAAACACACCAACCTGCATCACCAGGAAGTCTCTGGGTTTTTTTGGATGTTCCATAAATGACTTTGAGAGAAGGGAGTTTCCCATCCATTCAATCTTAGTCCAACAACCATCTAAAGCCATCTAGGTGTTCCAGTGCTTTGCATGTTACTAATGTGAAACACAGGCATCCTGAAAGCTTAATTTTCCACAGATCAATACATGACACCTCTACTACTCTCACCAAAGATGTCCCCTCTCCTTATAAAATGCTGTCTAGTCACTTATCCATTCCCAGCAGCTACATGTCCTCTTTGTGCCATTTAAATACATCATCAAGTGACCTCTGTGTGACTGAATTGGCACCAAATGCCCAGCTACTGTCTGAGTAGGTACTGCACTCAGGAAATAGCTTCCACTCAGCAGCAGTCAACAAATGGTCTTGGCAAGACTACAGGTCCAGACTGCAAAGACTCCTGGAGCTTTATTTTTCACAGATTCCTGGTTTGAAAAATGAGGAAGTTTGTAATTTTTACTATATACATCCTTGCACCTGGAAAAATAAACATATGCCCACATTGTAAACAGGAACGTAACAGAGAAATCCATCCTCTTCCCCACCAACTGAACTATGACAGTACCTGCCATGCTGTAAGACAAGAAGTGCACATAAGGTGTCCACAAGGCTCTATCTTCACATCTTTGTCATTCTCTGCACAGATTTTACACAGCTGAAAAGTGGAACCCATTTCACAGTACAATTCATATTGCTCCTGTAACAAAAAGAAATCAAGCAATTATTTCTTTCCAATGAATTGTTCACAAAGAATATACTTCTTCAAATACCCTGTTTTCCAATCTGCTTTATTTATTAATTAAGGAAACTCTTGCTACTGATCTAAAAGCCACACTAAGGTTACTGAATTTTTTACTTACATTTTTGCTTCTTCCAACCTGTGATATACTACAATTCATGCCAAAAAGTGTTAAAAATATCTGTGCCTATTTGATTTTATACAGAATTGTCATACATAACTGCTCTGCAAGGCACATGCCCTGCTTTTCTTCGGTTGCAGCTAAAAGAAAGAAAATGAACATATGGTTCTAAGTAAAAAATGAAGTGATGAATGGGAACAAAACTGGGATTTTCATTTCTAGGTGTGAGTTTTGAAATAAGAAGATTATTGGATTGAAGACTGACAAGCAAAAGTGCTTTTTACCTACAGCAAGGATGTTGTAAGCTAAAGTACACAATCCTTGTAAAGGAAGTATGGCAACACCCTGCAGGATAACTTGGCAACAGTCATGCACAGATTATTCAGTACTTTGCATCCTTACAAGACTGACAGGAAGGCAGAACACCACCATTAGATGGAATAAATAGTAGACAAAACTCAAGTCCAGAACAGTTTTCTAGAATTAGTTATTGTTGTGGAACTAACAGTTAAATGCATTTGTATTGAAATAAGCTTTTTTAGCCTTGAAAAAAAAAATTTTGAAATCCTAAAGCAAGTACAATCCAGATCATGGGAAAATAACCAGCTACTGCTATGTAAAGTGAGGGGACATGAGTCTAAGAAAAAGAGAAAACAAGTGAGAGCTTGCATCTGCAGCTGTAGTCAGTCTAGTAAAGATGCTTATGGTGGAGCTCTAGCAAAGAATCCATCTGCAGCAATCTAGCCCTGCAGCCACTTTCATACCATCTTTCCATAGTTTAAGCAGGTCTAGTGACAACTTTAAACCTCTTCAGTTGCATATTATTTAAGGCAGACTCCCATAATTCAGACTTTGTTGAATCACCATCAAAGCTAATTAGCTAATAATGTCCTCATAACTACATGTGCAGAAATAACTTGACTCATTCAATGGATCCAAAATAAAATATTATTGGCTTGTGAGGAGCGAGGTAGCCATTGACCATGTGCTGCTTCTCCTTTCTTTGAGAAAAAGCGAAGATATGGGCTGCAGCATTGTTCTGAGCAACACAAATACCTGATAAGTCTCCATTACTCTTTCATTATTATCTTAAGACAGGAGGGAAAAGATGGAAGTCAGAGAAGTGGAAGTGTTCAGGTTTTCTTCAGGTAATTCTTTTTAAGAATTCTTTTACTTACAAAACAGGTATTTCTGATAATACCATAGATAGTAAAGAATACTTCTTTTCTAAAATACTTCTGGAGGTGGAATGCACATAGAGTACCCAGAAGTACACAAGATTCAGCAGGTCAGCCAGACTGATTGGAAGAAACAGAAGACCAGCTGGAGCAGCATGGCTTGTATCTAGTCTGGTGTCTTTCTTTGCACATAATCTTCCAGATGTTTTCATCAGGAAAAATGAAAAGTGTTCTGCACTGTATCCCTTAGCCTTCTAGTGTTAATTTCAGCACTATTTTTAATCAAGCATTTCTCTTGGGGTGGCTACTTCCTACTACTTGACTATCAAACATTTGCACAATAATCACATCATTACTTAATGAGACTATAAACACAACTACATATTCGAATTTTCTCTGCAATTCTCTGCAAAGTGGCTCTGTCTAAACATTTAATCACTTCTGCTGTTTTCCATGATCTCTCTTTTGATTTGCACCATAGACAAAGAAGAAAGGAGAGAACTGGATATCCTGGAACTGATATTTCTGTGATGTATGACCCTTTCCTCCTGGACTCGCCAACCAACTGTACCATTCCTATCCAGCCTTCAAAACTATTACTTGGTCTTCATTTTGTTTCTGTATACCCCTTTGTTATTAGCAAGGAAAAAACAAACTACATGAATTTGTTACATAAATATCAGAAAAAAACTTTAATAGCTGTATGAAACACAGCTGTATGAAACACTGGGAAAAGGCTCACAATAAACAAAACATTCCAAGATGTGCTGTCTGCATCACCATCCACTCTACAGTTTATTACCCTGCTCTTCACCTAAGCCCTCCTATCAACACTATATTTTCAGTCTTATGAACCTATTGCTCACATTTTAATAAAAGCTTATTAATACTGATAGGTGAGATACTAAGAGAAGTGAAGACTACAAAGTAACTCAAAACTCTGCCAACATACCTGCGTGACTTTTATGTGATCGTGTGGTGTGGGCTCACATAATCCTGTCAAATCAGGGTTATAACTTCGTCCATCTGGGAACAGATAGCTGCATCACAAGAAGACTGTTATAAATATGTGCATTTCTTCAGCTTTATTAGCTAAATCATACTTACAAAATTTCAAGGGGGCAGAATAAGTGACAGTAGACATTAACTAAAATAAATCATCTTTCCTCAGCCATCTATTTTATCTTTTAAGTGCAACTAAATTGCTACATATTCATTCTGACACATGCTCAAGCGTATTTATAAAAGCAGAGGACAGATTTTGGCATCACTTGCATAGCTACCACCAGAATGCATCTGAGCTTTGATTAGCAGATAACGTTCTAGGGGAAACTCAAAAGAGAGTTATTTCACATCTTTGTTTCACAGTGAGCACACACTTCCTAGTGATTTCCCCACTGAGAGCATCATGCTCAGGACTCTATTTAGACTATTTCAACTAAAGCTGAAGAAAAGAAGGCAGCACATTTGTGTGTATCTGTATTTTGATATATATATATAATATGTCACAATATTATATCTGTGCATATCTGTGTATAATATGACAAGAATCTACACTGAGAACTTCTAATGCAGACTGGATGTTAGGCAAGAACCAATGGGAGCATTTCAATCATGTGGGAAATTAACAACAGGTTAAATGATATTACAGTAACCCTATGTTGTTCCATATTCAGGTTTATGTTACCTGTAACTTGGGAACAGTTTCTTAAAGGTCATGTATTTTTATGTGATCTAATGAAAAAGTTATAAGGTACAAAAACATCACTCTGCATAAAATATTCTCAGCTTCAGTTTTTGTTTGCTCAGTTTTTGTCAGAGAGAAACACTACCAATATAAGCGTGTTTTTATTACAGGTATGAAATCAACACACCTGAAAAAAAATACTAGATTGTGTAGGACTGAGAAAAATTACAAGACTGGAAAAGATTTATCAGTCTTTTTGTTTCTAAGGATTGATCAATTGCCTTTTCTCTTTCTTTCACATTATATATATTTATATTGGGTATACCAAAACATGTATCCCAGTGAAAAGATTCTGACACCAAATATTTGTCTGTTACTTCAGCCAACCTAGCAAAAATGTACTACTTCTCCCTATAAACTTACATTCTCTAATAATTATAAATCTTTTCAGTAAACTATTAGAATGTGGAAAATGTTCTGGCTGCACAATATATAAAAAAGCAATTACATAGCTTTCAAATCATTGTCCACAGTTAGACACATGAGTAACTGGAAGTAGCAACTGTTCAATAAGCCTAAGTGCATTTGGGACTCTTGGGGGGCTGTGGGGGGAAGGAGGGATCAATGCAACAACTGTCTCATTTTATTTTCTCATGGAATTTATTTGCTATGAGATATGACTTTAGTTAACTTTCAGTAACTCTGGTTAATGGAATTAGCTAGAAACAAGTTGGTTTTAAATGAATTAAACGAATGGTCCTTAAACTCTGAAATAATGCTAACCACCATATGCAGTTTCTCTGTTTTAAATATATTTAACTACCCATATAAGCATTAAGGGAACAAGGAAATCAGGATTTCACAGCCATGGTGGCTGTTAAGAATTTGTACTTACAATCCTTCCCGGCTGCCGTCGATCAAAGCTTGAAACAGAGGTTTATTGTGAGGTATGGTCTGCAGTATGTTCCCATCACCAGTCACATACCCGATGGCCCACTGGCCCAGGCGAGTGCAACTCAGTCTGAAAATGTAGCTTGATGAAAACAGGATGAATGAAAAGTCAGTATAATTCAGAGTTCAGCAAAACAAGTGAAGAGAGCAATTATGGCCTCTGGTTCAAACACTGAATTAGGTCTCTGAACATTTGGGTCAGATTCACAATTCTGCCATGTTCTTTGTATAACCTTAAATAAACCTGCCTCTTCTACACTGTCACTTTCTCATGGGCAGAAATAAAGTAAGAGTAGCTGCCTAGCCCCTGCTTTTCATCTGCTTATGTTTTAGTTCTCAGAGTGAAAGCTGCACATTCACCGTGAGCAGTCTCACTCAGACATGTCCATAAACCTCTCCAAGAAGAGTGCATGACATTATCCAGCCTCCATAGCTACAACAGACACCTTTTGTGCTTGTGCAGGCCAATAACCTGAACAAGTGGAAGGAAAAATATAAAGCATCTTTAGATGCAACAGAAACAGGAAAGATGAATGATAAAACCTGCTCTACTAGAAAATGGTAACTTTGTGTGAGCCTGTGGAGGTGAACAAAAGAAATATCATTTCTACTGCAGTAAAGTGAAATATTAACTACACCATTTGACTTGGATTTAAATACTTCTGTGTTACAGGTGATAGCTGGGACTATACGTTATGTAGACATAGAGCACAATCAGAAGAAAAGGAAGTTTACAAGCAACAGGATTGGGCATGTATAGAGCTTCACATTAAAAACTACTCCCTTTCATGTCAGACACCATTTCACATGCAAAAACCTCACTGAGAAAAGCATCTCACAGCAAAAGACCACAAACTCAATTCTATATTACAGACTAACTATTCATCTGAACAGAATCTTTTAATTTGCAGGATGTTTTAGTCAGATTAAAGAAGAAATTTCACTTCATATCCCCTCTTTCACACTCCAGCATTTCACTTAAGCGACTCAGAAAGTAATTTTTTGATAGGCAATAGAAAGCTATCTTAAAATTAACAATTTACAAGGAACATATAAGCTACATGGGGTAATTTCTCTATCACAGCATTAGAATCAATAATAGAGAAAATAATAAATACATAAAATGCTCTCCAAATCAGCTTAGTTATTTGATTTTTGCAGTAGTGTCCACAATTATCAAGCTAAAAATCAGCAGTTTTCTGTTAGAACCACAAGATTTCTGTATATATGCACTTGACTACTAGGATAACTTCTCATACAGTATACTATTTGCTAAAAATCAGAAGAAACCAAGCACAGAACACGGGTATAACTGCTGGTAGACTTCACTAATGAGTTTCAAAACAGTGCACTTTAACTATGTGTACATGTGCTTCAGCAGATGTTTCAGCAAGGAGACATTAGGGACAAAGCTTCTGTAAGACACAGCTAGCAAAAGAAATTGTATGTAACATGGGATTAAATACATTCTTGTTTTTATTTTTTCCCCTGAGTGAAGAAAAAAAACAGTGACATAATTGTAAAAGCTCAGTTTAAGTGATTTACTATGCATAGCACCACATAAGGAAGTGTTTATAAACTACATGTCATGCTCTTTAATCTGACTGTTTTACTAGGTGAAGAGTTTATGATACAGAATGACACAGGCAAAGGAAAAAGAAACATATAAAACACAAAAGGAACACAAAATCACAGATTATATAGCTTGAATGTTGCCATGAAAGATGTTAAGAAGATTTTTGCTTTGAGTGAAAACTCAATGTACATTTATTCAATGTAAATTTTGAAAATCAAATTACATTTTAAAATACGCTTTTCAAGAATGAATTGCTTGTTTTACCTGATTCAGAAGAAGAAAGGAAAAGCAATTTATTTTCAATTTCTCTCTGTTTATTTTTACATATTTAGACTTCAGTGTGCTAATATGATATTTTTTTGCTTCACTTCTTCAGTGCTTCAGTAAGTGTTAAATAAAATGCAAAAACATGCAAAATAGAAGTATGAACCTAGCAGAATTATGTAGGTTCCAAGACAGCAAGTTTATTTGGAAAGCAATCCGCAGTGAAACCTCTCACCTCCCAGGTTTAGTGCTGTATTTCTGCAGCCTTGCTTTCACTTCATCATACGTCAGGAATGCCATATATCCAGGATGTGTCACAGCGAGGAAGTTCCAATTCCTTAAGATTGAGCCCCACGGCTACAACGAGAAGACAAACAAGTAAAGAGACAAAGCCACGTAGCTCTGTATTTCTAATAAAACTCAAGTCTGCATGTCAGAGTCACCTAGAGTGTTTTAGCTTCAGCTGAAAAACACTTGGGTCTAAATGATTCAAAGGACTGTCCTAAATACCCAATTTTGCTACAAGTGTTCCTTCAAAAGAATTATTCCAAGAACACCAAGCACAGCTTTTTGGATAAGGATTTTGAAGACCCTGAATTTAAGAGACCTTCTATTCATAGCTACATAAAATATTAAACATCTTATTTAGTTAAAACCTAGAAAGTATGACTCCATGATGGTTTAATAAAAACACAATTAAGCCTGAGAGGTCCTGAAGCACTTTCATAGTTAATGTTAAGTAACACTGACAAATGAATTGTAATAAAGCTCCTAATTTGAGCTATCATTCCTTTTTTTATTCTCTACATCTTGATTTCTTCAGTCATTATAATGGTATTATAGCCAGAAAACAGAACAAATATTGACAGCACTTCACCTGAGTATTTTCTAACTTGAGTAGCAAATGCTTCAGAAAATTCAGTGAAACATGCCTGATATGCTGTCACTTCAAAGAATATGGAACAGTCCATTAATGTAAATAAAGAATGATTTTTTAAAGTAATGGATTCATTTAGATATATAAATGTCCATTTCCAGCATTTGGGAAGTCAAGAAGCTGCCTCTGAATGTTTTGCAGATCATTAACCTATTTCTCAGAAGATCAAGGCAGGTGAAGTTAAGTGACACAAGACAAGAGGCTTGTGCTCTTATGTGCCCTGAAAATTCCCTTTAAAAGAACTTCTAAGGGGCAGAGATGAAATGCCTGTATGATATGCTTGAGCATTTTATCCTAACAGTTCTTGAGAGTGTTACATTTTCCAGGCAAACCCTAGCCACTAACTAAACACAGATGAATACCTATGTATTTTAAAATTAATGCCTCATCAAGTTGGACACATGGAATAAGAAGACACGTTTCAGCACAGAGGGTGTAAGAAATCTGAAGTGTTTAAATTTGTCCAAAAGCCAGGAGGAAAGAAAAAAAAATCCCAGTCCTAGATTCAACACTGCATGTGAAGAATGGACTGAGAGCAGCCCTGATGAGCAGGAGTTGGGTGTGCTGCTGGATGAGAGGCTGAACACAACCCAGCAAAGTGCACTTACAGCCCGAAAAGCCAAATGTGTCCTGCACTGCGCCCAAAGCAGCGTGGCCAGCAGGGCAAGGGAGGGGATTCTCACTCTCCTCAGCTCTTGTGAGACCCCACATGGAAAACCACATCCAGCTCTTGGGCCTCCAGCACAGGAGGGACACAGACCTGCTGGAGCAAGTCCAGAGGAGGGACAGCAAGTTGATGAGGTGGATGGAACACCTGCCCTATAAAGACAGGCTGAGAGAGCTGTTATTATTCAGCCTGGAGAAGTGAAGGGTCTGAAAACCTGGAAACATGGCGCAGCATCCCAATACCTGAAGGGGTATACAAGAGAGCTGGAGAAGAACTTCAAAAGGACTTGGAGTGATAGGACAAGGGGGAATGGTTTCAAACTGAAAGACTATAGGTTTAGACTGGATACTTGGAAAAAATTCTTCAGTCTAAGTGAAATGAAGGCATCGGAACAGGTGTCTCAGGGAAGCTGATCCATAACATTTTGGTATGGGGCATTCATTTGATGACCCATCCCTGAAAATGTTCAGGCTGGAGGGAGCTTCTGGTCTTGTAGAAGTGTGTCCCTACCCATGGCAGGGGGGGTTGGAATGAGATGATCTTTAGGGTCTCTTCCAACCCAAACCATTCAAAGGCAAGAACCCATAGCTTGCCTTGTGTACACGGAGTCTTACCAGAGCAGAAGTGCTAAATGGGACAAGATTTTAACCCTTTCTCTTCAATGGAAGTATTTTCACACCAAAGGACATGTCAACAGCAACAGATTGAAGTTTCTGCAGAGCATGCAGATACTCTGCTGTGCTAAGCTTCTCTCTGGTCAGGGAGCACAGCACTTAAAGTTGTGTATACATACAGTGGGGAGGCAGGGGGAGCAACTTCACTTTCAAAGGATCTCCATAAAGCCTAGTCTTGCTTGCTTGTGTGAAAAAATAGCATTACAAATGCAGCTTTTCTGTAACATAACCCACAGTCGGCAAAACAGTATTTTGATTACTTAACTGGGATTTTCTCTCCGTGGGTGTATGCACACATAGCTACAGAAGCTGTTTAAAAACTAGAGAAGTAAAATGTAACCTTCTGGGAGAAGTTCTCAGACCAAGTTCAGTGCAAGTTCAGTTCAACAGTTACACAGCTTTTGCACCCAATCTGTTTGTCAAAACACAGCTCTCTGCTTCTTTGCTGAATTAAAAGTTAACCCTTACCAATCATCTCTCTTTACATGTATAAATATTGCTGATCCCCTCTTCTAGCACAAGGCACAGTAATGAATCCAACCAGCAGTGGCCTCACAAAGAAAATAAGTGGCCAATGTTTGTGGCTCAATTAAAAAGAGATTACTGACACCATTAACATTTGCAATTGTGACACTCTTTTGACTCAGAATGGAGAAGAGATACTCAAAATCAAAACTCTGTATACTAAAATCATTAATCCCCTCCTGCCAGATTTTACTATCACCTTCATGATGGCACCCTTTCCCACAAAAGCAAAACTAGGACATCTAAGCAAGAATTATCACAAGACAATGTGGAAAACAGAACAAACATCAACCCACGGTTTGATGTAAAATTGGTATTTTGAACGTATGTCCATTAGGCCAAATAATAATGACATATTCATATAGGTTGAAAAAAGACCTCTGAGATCATCAAGTCCAGCTGTTAACCCACTACTGCCAAGTGTTCATAATGATACATAGGTTATGATGATAATATGATGCATATTACATATGCAGTAGTATATATAATAATATATAACACATTATTATAAATAAGTATAATTGTTTGTATAGTATTATATATAATAATATTTATATATTCAAATAGGTCTCAAAAAGACCTCTGAGACCATCAAATCCAACTGTTAACCCAGCACTCCCACTAAATCATGTCCCTAAGTGCTTGGAAACCCTTTCAGTGAAAAAACTTTTTCTAATATCCAGTCTAAACCTTCCCTAGTGCAACTTGTAGCTCTGTACTAGTTTACCACTGTACATGGTAAAGAAAATAAATTATCAAATAAATGGTTGTATATCTCAGCAGTTTCTTATATTTTTAAAAAAATATCCAAAGTGATCAATTCAGAAACAGTACATCTAATATGGATGCAAGTACAGTCTTCCATATTGATTAAAATACCTTAAGTATGTTCTGTAGAAGAGAAACAAGTTTAAAATAGACACATAACATATAGGTATAGTTAATTTTATAAATATTGACAATAGTACAATTAATGCTATTCCCAAATATAGCTCCTTGTTGTGAATAAGCAATAAAGCATTAATGGCAAAAATAGGTTCATGAAAAAAAGTTAGGCCTACATTTAGCCTAAAGTAAATTAATACGTAACTGTCTTTATGTTTTTTGTAAAACACCTCATATATGTAGATTACAAATGCACAACACAAAAAAAAACAACTAAAACTCTGATTATATGGATATCTACATTTCTAGGAATGTATTTAAAAATAGTGAAAAATAAGCAGCAAACACAAAGCTATTGTAGTAAAATTAGATACATGCAGAAATGAAGCAGGTGTTGCTGTACACTTTCAGTTTTTCAGATGTGTGTGCTGCTGCCTCAACCACCACTGATGGACTAAAAGAAATGCACTCTATTTCTAAATTATAATGTTTTACTTCTTCCATTTTTTCAAAGAAATCTGCTTCCTTGCCTCAGAGCACTAAGCTTCTAAAATCCACATAAGTATCTAAAATTTTCAAATCTTACCTGAAATAATCTAGTGAAGATATCAAATTCAAAAATTGAAATGTAGTCATTGCAGGTCAAGTCAATAGTAGATTTAAGAGCCATTGCTTCCAAACCAGAGCTAATCTGATGAACTTCATGAAGGCACTGCCTGAACACTTTCCATGGCACTATAGTTCTGTTAAACAGGCAGAAAGAATAAATTCAGTGAAATAACATATTTAAGATATGATACCTCATTCAGACATCAAAACTGAACTTTTAGAGGAGTGAAGTGCAACATTAATTTGGTTTCTCTACAGAGGAAAGTAAAACCCTACAAATTAAGTTTTCTGAAAGCAGCCTAAGGAAATACAAGAATGTCTTACCTTCCTTTAAACACAGCTGAAGTGCCATTTCTTTCACAAAGATAAATATTCAAGCTTCCTTAGGAGTACAACAAAAACAACACTGCAGAAACCAAAGTACCCTACCAAGCAGGTGCTGCAAACAATCTCACATCCTTTCAGAGACAATGTAAAGGACCAGCTCTATGCTTGTTAAGAACTCTTTTCTTCAAAATCTCCCTTTCCAGTATGATAAGCATCAATTTAGTATCTACAATTATGTGATTTTTGCTATAGTTAAAGCTCATGAGCAGTGGTCAAGTAACATGACAGCAATCAACCACGTACCACCAAGAATGGTCCAAGCCCTGTCATAAGCCATGACAGCTACATTAACTTTAATAGACAGGAAATTAGAATTATCCTTTCTAACACACAAAGCCATGTTCTGTCAGATTCAGTTTCTATTTCCACAGTTGAAGACAATGCAGGTTAGTTATTTCACCAGCCAAATACTTGTATTTGGAAACTGGGATGAGGTTGATCACTTGAATGTGCTTCATCTTATCACTCTCAGTAACAGAAATAATTCTTGTGTCACTGGGGTTGAATCCAAATTTTGCTAAGCCATAACACCTCTTAAAAATGTTCTCCCATACATTGAAATCAGATTATAGGATATTTTTTTAAAAAAATTAATTAACCAAAATATACCAAATGCATAATTATTTAGGACTAGATCTCACACATTCATAGTAATATTTTGTTAATAACTGCTAAATCAACAAAAAACACAAGCCTCACAAACTCAGTAATATTTCCTGTAAATTTTATTAGTTCAAATTGCTTTAGTTCTTCTATTTTCTCATGCACAAATGCAAATAACTTACATGGGGCGGGGGAGAACAAATGTATTAAGTTGGTCCTGTGTAACAAACACTACACAGTTATCCTAAATTCAAACAAGCAATAATCTGAAGTACAACACTAAAGATATACTCCTGTATTTCTGTTGCATAAGATATTCACTACATTTCTAAGTGCAAAGAAATTCACTTGTTACATGCAGGCTTGTATTGAGAAAGTCATAAATGACAAAATGGGAAGTTTAATAGATCGCAGCAGATACTTTCATCTGTATATGAAAAACAGGAAACCACAAAGAGCTGAAGAGAGATACCACATCAGATGCCATTTATGAAAGAATGCACATCAAATTTTCATTAGGGCAAAGAGAGAATAAAACATTGTATTAAATTCAGACAAAAAAAATTAGAAAAATCAGTTCCTTTGTGGTGCTAAAGTTATCTTGGCTCAAGTGCCTACTGTTTATTTAGCTCCTATAACAATGGCTCCAAATTTTTTTCTGATTCTCTTTATAAACCACCCTAAATGGTTACAGCACTCTGGGATCATGCTGAAATGGGTTTAGAAAAGTTTCAGGGTTGACTGTGGGTTTTGTGAGCTTTTTGCTTGGTTGTTATTTGTTGGTTTTTTGGTTTGTTTTTTTAGGGGGGGAGAGGGTGTTAATTTTATTGTTTTGAGGTTTTTTAAAGACAATAACCCTAAAATAAAAAAAACAATAGAGCGTTTATCAGATAGGATGACAGTCATACTACACCTTAACAATAGGTTTTTCATCCCTTGCACAAGACAGTTCCTTAGATGCAATCAATAAATAGGATCTTTAGCTATCTATTCACAAACAACCTGCATTCCCAAAACTCCACCAGCAACACAGAAAACAGAAGTCTTCAGGAAAGTATGTTTTCAGAGCTCTGTTGGCTATATTTTGGCTAAGACAGAAACCAGATGCTGGAAAATGAGTGATTAGCTAATGAAATAACAACTAAAGTTATTTTTTGGGATTTCTCCAAGAACAAGTGCTTGAAATAGTGGTGGCCCAAATTTAAAATACACTAAATTCAGCAGGTTTTTTTTTTTTCTCTGCAGCTTCCTGGGATAGGTCTTTTATCTTCTGCTTTCTTTAAATAAAGGTGTGAATTGGTTGTTGAAACCTGTTAACTCCTATTTCTCAGCAGATATTTTATAGTTATCATTTCAAAATACTTTGAAACAGCATCAGCCAGGGATTATTTCTCCCCAGTGTCTCTCTCCAATTTATCCACGCATATGCTGATCTCTTTAAGACCTTGCAGACTGCACACACCCACTAAATGCAGGTGTTACTGGGTCTTCACAAGGTGAAAGTTTCTGCAATGTCCTCTCCTCCTGCTCCTACATCACTGAAACCTGGTGACCTTTCAGGCACCCTGAGAAACACATCCTCTGCAGAGATCTGGGAGGGCTCACTCAGCATGAAAGAAGCTTTCAGAGATGGCTGGACAAGTTGAGTTTCTGTTTGAATGAACATTTCACTGCTCTTGCTTTCTTGTGTTTCAGGGGATACACAGCCTTTGAAGGCATCTGTTCATGAGTCTCAAGTTTAAAGTTATTTTAATTTGAGTTTGGTTGGTGGCAGGGGCGGTGGAAAGGAAAAAAGTATAGGACCAAGATGGAGATTCAGACTGTCCTCATCAATAGCATGTTTAGACTGTTATTTAAATACATACATATGTTTACATATATAAAACACCTGTTCTTATAGAAAGAAAATAACAAAACCCTGTTAGCAATGAAACCACTGCCTGCCACATTCAGCTCCTGAACCATAGAAGGTATCTCCTATAAATATTTTCAGGGATCTTTGTAATATTTGTTGCATCATGTCCTAATGATGCTTTGCACTAGAGGCTGGCAGATATTCTGCACATGCCTCATGCTATTAGGCTGAACCTGTAGACACTTGTCTAGGAGATGAGTCAGTCAGCTCTGCCTCAGCTCATCAGAAAGATGTGATTTGATGTCTTGGTAACATTAGCTGTCTACAGAATCAGGCTGAGGAAGTGCAGGTCTCAGTATTTCAGGTATTTAATTGTAGTTACATAAGCTATCCCTTGTAGAAGAAGTGCCCATGACTTGACTCCAGCTGAAACAATGTTCTGGGGAGTCTCTCACCTGAGAGGGTGGCACTAAACAGTGACTGTACTTCTCTCAAAGGCTTGATGCCCAAAGTTTACAGCACTACTGCATATGCAGACATTACAAACAGATATACCCAGAGCTTTGGTAACACTTCCTTTTTTCATAATGCACTTTAGAAAAAAAAAAAAAAAAAAGAAGAAAATATGACTGAATTACAGGTACATACCTTGACTGTGCTACACATTAATTTACTGCAACACTATCAGCTCAAAAAATCTTCAGAGAGGTAATATTAGAAGGAAACAAAAATATGAAGAAAGTCAAGATGTACAGCAGTAAAAGAATAGAAGGACCTTTTACAAGGAAATCCTTATATCCACCTGCCAATCTTTTAGGAAATGATTTATACACAACATGTCCTTGTACTGCCTTTTCTCATCATTAAAGTAGAAGCAAGCTCATGCCAATTCAAGGAAAGAAAACAAAAATAAAAGAAATGGTCCTGAAAAATATTTCCTTAAGAGGTTTTCTGTGCATCTCTCAAATCAACAAAACTATCTGGATCATGGTATTTACCCTGGGATTGTGTTCTTAAAGAGTACTGTCAAAAACCCTAAAATAAGCCATTTCTCCTGTCAAAAACCCTAAAATAAGCCATTTCTCCACAGGTCTCTCTAAATGATACTACTTCATTCCCTTTCTTCTGCAATAGTAGATTTAGTAAGTGTATCTGAAAAACTATGAATTCTAAAGTGTCCTATATGAAACATAAGATTTTAAAAATACTGTTATATAGGATGGTATCTATTTACTATTGTTGGCACACATCAAAGAGAAGTATGACTCTATAATCTGAAATAAAGTGTTTTAAACACCACCCACACAACTTCCACATGCTTAAAGGGAAAGGATTAGTGTTTAGCATGTGATTTCCAAGTGATTTAGCAGAGGAATTTAGGTTCTCTCTTCCCTCCTGCCCTCATCATGCGTACATGGGATTTTCTAAACTCCCCAAATGTTGCTACATTATTAAAAGCAAAAGACGTTAATATAAACCTGGAGATGAAGCATCCATTTCCTGAGCACAAAGAGAACAGCACTTGTGTAAAACTGCAGAGATGCAGCTACCCTGCAATGTCAAGTGACACTGCTTCCATTTGAACCAGATCAGACCACAAGAATGTCTAGGGAGGTAAACATGTACCTGTATAACTTACACTTACAGTGAATGGTTTTTTTTCTGCAAGAGACTCTTTCAAATGTTGCCAAAAAACACATCATGAAAAGGCCATTATACTGTTTCCAGAGCAATCTCAAAAATATTCAAGCAAATACTGACCCAGATAGAAACAACATTCTTTGTAAGTCTGCAGTGAGCAATGTGGATTTTGACTTATCACCACTGAAAAGAGCATTTTCTTAAGACTGCTGCTTCAGTTTTAAGTGAGAGGCAACATGTTTCCACTGCTTCTGAACTGCAAAGCAAATAAATGACACACAGAAGGCTTGAAAAATTCAGTCCTAAGGGAAAAAAGGAATTCTGCCATATCATGCCAGTACAATTGCTAAATAGTGACATCATTGAGAACAAATATAGATGAATCTACTGAGAACAGAAAAAGAGAGAAAATCAGCTTTATGAAATGGAGAAAATATACCACCAAAAAAAGCCACTTCCAAAGCTGTGTAACTGGACATTGCTGGAGAGACAGCAAGTTCCTTGAGATACAGGAACTCTGTGTTTCTGTTCATTTCTCTGCATTTTCAGCTCTGATCTCTAACAACAAAATCAAAGCATGTTCACACTTTTGCACATCCTTTTATACTTAAAACATTGCCTCTCCTGTCTATCCATGGAGAATGTGTT